CATTCAGAAACATAGAGAGAAAAATGTATAGATAGACAGATGGTTAGATAAATAGAAAGATAGTTAGATAGATAGACAGACAGACCTAGGTAGGTAGATGGATGGAAGGATGGATGGATGGAAATATATATAGAGAGAGAGAGAGAGCTTCAACCACCTTTCGGTCCATCAGGTTCGCTCTGCCATCCATGAATCACAACAACTCACCTCTCCTCTAGGTTTCCAACTCATCTCTAAGGCCTGAGGAAGCCAAAGCGCCAAGGCGTCACGCCAAGGTGATAGCCTCGGCTCAGAAATGATGGTGAAATTCAATATCCAGCAACTTTTTACATCATGAAATTTAAGGGTAGTTGGGGAACATTTAGGTTTTAAACCATGAAATTCGCCGAACATTTTCCCGTATAATGTTTGGACAAAACCACATGAATCCTCCAAGATGCTTATGAACGGTTTTTGTTTGTATATGTTGGTTGTACAGAACCTCCAACTGAGCGTCGGAACTTTGCTCGTTGGAATGGAGTCATCGGGGTAGAAGAGGGTACAGGTTCCAATGATTCTACTGGTTCGATGCTGGTCAGGTCATTCCTTCTCGTGATCAAACATGGCAACGGAAAATACCACATTTATGTTTTTTTTCCATGAAAATCCTAAAAATAGAATATGTTCACTTGCCATGTGTGACTACCAGAGGGTAGATTCAGCTTCCCTCCTAAGGAGGGTGCAGTTGGTTGTTCCTCTTGTGGCAAAATGTGGATGTCAGGACCAGGAAGAATTGTCACCCGATGAGAAAGCAGCCGCCAGGGAACCCAGCAGCCAGTGAGGCAGACAGACGTCAGACTTGGTCCTGGGGAATGCAATGATAATCCCAACTCAAAGCAGAGAAACGGCTGCAGTAGCTGCAGGTGTTTGTAGGTCTTTGGTACTGAAAGAAGTATATACTGAGGATTCGCAAACTGTGCTCAACCTGTGCCGCAGCCAAGCGAAACCATGCCTGCTCATTCGCGATTTGAATCGTCACCAATGGCTGTGTGTGGAAATGGGTAGTATACGACCAGAATGGAAAATTTCTTGGAAAACTTGGATGATAAGGCAATAGATAGTGTTTATCATCCCTAACCCTAATTTTACCATTGTTAAATAAACCATCAAAATCCGGTTGGTTTATGGCATTGCTTTGTGAAAATTATGATTACATTTTTCGCCAGACCCATCTTGGGTCGTGCATCTTGGCACATCTACGAATTGAGGTCCGAAGATCCAGAAAAGCTGCGAGGAAGAAGGGTTTAGAAAGGAAGGTGCCCAATGTTCGGTTTTTTGACATGGAGATGCCCAAGGCATTCCAAGATTTCCATGGCATTCCAAGATGTAGTTTTGGTGGTTCTGACGGGAAAGATTGCGAGGACAAGTTCTGTATTTCCTTCTGAGAAAGGTTGTTCGTTTTCGCAGTTGAAAGCAAAACTTCATCCAAGTATAGAGTGGGAGCTACTTGTACCACCATTGCTTCTATACACGATACCACGCTCTGATTTTTTCCATACAAAAGTGTCAGATTCATTCTGAGCGGAACAAATAACATAGCAGATATTCTGCGGATGTGTATTCAAATATGGGGATGGGTCAAAATCGTTTATTACATTTTATTACCATATGCTGGGGAATAAACATCCATTAGCCAGCTATTTTCCAGGGTTTTGACTCAGAATCCTAATATAGCATAATATAGCCATTATATCGCCCTTTTTTTTTTTGAATCTGCCATCGATTCTCAACCAATGGTCCCGGCCCCCCGGCTGCTGAATCGACGATAGAAACAGCTGTGGACAGGTGGAAGGTGGTGAAATGTCGTCAGAATCTTGGGACAGGGGAACTGACCTGGTGGGTAGGTCGGGTCACTGGTTCGTATACCGGTAAACTAACATAGATGTGGAAAACCTCAGGAATGATCTACAAGTCGTAGGTTTTCCACATCGATCAGGAGGGTACCCTCTGTTTTTGGAACGTTTGGAGACACTCACTAATGGTGTTTTCATGAGAGCTCTCACCAAAGATCATGGCTTTTGGTGTATGACCATGGCACGCCTGTTCCAACAACTTGAGATTCCTTTTAGATGTATGGAACATCTAATCCCAAAGCCCACAATATGTGGGATCAACAGTTCGTCACCCGACAACTGGATTCTTTATGCTGATTCTTAAAGGTGACCCTTCATCTCTTCCCTCCGCTGGCATCACTGCAAAATCCTGCAGTTCCATGATCGTTTGATCAAAACATCTCCAAAATCCTCCAAATGTCGATGGGGAATTTGCCACAACATGCCACAACCATGTTTGTCAGCAAAACTTGGCTAATCTTTGGCCGATGCTGTTGCATGGCCAAAATTGGACCATGAACGAAATCTGGTCCCAGGTTGAAGGATCGTCGAGATCGTGATCAGAAGCTCCAAGAGAAGAATCAGAAGGTCAAGGCTGAGAAGGCGATCCCAGAGTGTCAGAGTCATTTAAGGGGGATGTGTGCGTTTGTTTTTGTAGGATATTGATAGATATTGGCTATTGGTATCAAATCTAAGCAAGAGACTGGTTTTAATGGCTATAAACATCTATAAAACAATTAGTTTCAGTCCTTTCTTCCATCTAGTGGTGACATACCTGGCGCTTTTATGACCAGTACATCACCATACCTTTCAAGGATCATGCAGTGCTCATAGACATGGACTCAATCATGTCAGCCTCCACCCAGGGCATTGCAGGGTCACTCCGCATGAGCTCATTCAGACCTCTGGCATATGGAGCTGTCTTGGTTCATATCACAAGCAGAGATCCCCCAAGATGCGGGGTGCCAGGTGATAGAAATGGAGCATCACACCTGGGACTCCCAAAAGTTGTCCACCATGAGGTCCAGTGCGGTCAAGCCCATAGGATACTGAGTACTACCGAAAAAAACACAGATACCATATGGGAAGAATGTCAGGGAGTGTCCGGGAATGTCACCAGCACGGTGCATTGAAGCAATCATGATTGGGAGATAATCTTAGTATTTGTATTATTATTATTATTGCTATTATATTATTACTGCACTATTAATATGAGTATTATTAAAGATTTATTACCCTTTTGGCAGCAAGTTCTGTGGTTCCAGCCCCTTCTTAGATACAACAGATCAATCATGAGCATCGAACTGTGACCCCATGGTGTCAAGATGTCTCCGATGGCTTCTGCAGTCACCTGGCAATCGGGGGACCATTGGGAATGGGGATTCGTTGGGACCTTAAGCCAAGCTGGAACCTCATATTGAGGGGATTTTCATGGATTTTCAAGGCCAACTGAACATAGTTTCGGACTCTGGGCTTGGGAATTGCCTTCTTGGCGAGCAGCTGTCAGTTCCACCATTTCTAGATGCCATTTCCACGCTTGAAGCTGCGGATTTCCCAGTGCCTTTGTGAGATGAACTCTGAAAAATGAGAATCTGAAAGGATTTTCTCTCTTCTTTAACCATATTTGCATTGATCTGCATGTGCAAGTAAGCAGCATGTCCCTTTTTCTTGCTAGAAAAACATATGATTAAAACCCCAGGTTGTGATCACCGCAGCTCAACGTCGTCTCCCAAGGCTTACGTTGTTGGCAACACTTGTGCATTGCGAAGGCCTGGAGGGTTCGGATCCAACAATCGGTCAGCTCGGTATGTGTTTTGCACGAGGTCTACTTCAACAGTTCTACCCTTACTGGTGCGAAACGTAGGGAATTTTCGGGAATGATCCCAGTCATCACTAGTAGTCATCCCAGCAACCCCCATTCCATCCATTCCCAACTAAGCATCCAGGTGCGACTGCGGAGTCAACACTGGACTTCGAGGACAGATGGACGTGGAGGATGGCCTTTTTCGAAAAAGAGAAGGGGAAACACTGGCTGATTGGTGGACATTGGTGGTGCTATAAAAAGTTTTAATATAACATAATTAACATATAATTAACATATAATTAACATATAATTAACATATAATTAACATATAATTAACATATAATTAACATATATTAACATATAACATTATAATACATTATATATATATTATACATGTTGTTTTATCTACATCCTTCAAGCATATTTGGGACATTTTGAGACCATGATCCCCAAAGGATGACAGGTATGGCAAGCCACCAATCAGCTCGTGTTTTTAGGCTGTCAATTGAGCAGTCAGAAACTGGCTGGTCAAATTTGTAATTTCGATATTCATATGGAAGAGGGATTAATAGAACACTGCTCAATTGATCAAAATTGGTCAACATGGAAATTGTTTAAAAAATGTGCAATGATTTTCGTACATCCAAAGATGCCCCCTTTCTGCCCGTTTGATCTTTGATGTTTGGGGTGTTTTAGTTGAGACATGGACCATCGACCAGCAATCCTAAAAACCACACCTGCCGTAGGGAACTCAACCCTGCGGCGAGCGCTTGCGGCAAGATGGTCAGTGTGAGGTTCGATGGCAGTGCCGTGTGTGCCATGGATATGAAAAGCGAAGTTCGGTTGGATCAGTTACGACAATTGTCGTGGCATTTATCCTGGAAACCTATCAATCCGGCAACCCTTCAAATTTAGATAGTTTGGGAATTCAGATGAGATTCGGATGTGAAATGATTCAACTACATACAGTTCTTCTTGCGACCCTGAGTTGGTAACCCCCAAACATCACACAGCCGAAGGGGAAATCAATCTAGGTACTGAACCCATCCGTACCATTCCGTACCTATGGTCTTGCTGGTCCCCAAGCCTGAATTCTCACATCTCCAAGATGCATTGGAGCGGGTGGGCCTTCTGCCTGTCATGTTCTTACGGATTGCAGTCAACTCACCAGCAGTTTAGCTCAGTTTCTACCGGTAAATGAACAGTTCGACCCTGCCAGGGGCTGGAAGATGAGTTTCCATAAAAAATGGGTCATTTTCAGGGTCAAAGTGTTAGTTTACCAGAGGGTAAGTGAACTCAAACTCAACACATCTATCTACTACGGTATTTTGCCAGGCAGATCCTGCTGAGTTTTCACCCTCCTTGGGCTGTGAGGTGCGTGTACCTAGTAGGATGCAAACGCAGAAAGATAGGATTATAAGATATTATAAGCAACCTCCAAAAGGATGCTGGAAGTTCCTAAAATCCTACTAAAATAGGATAGTGGATGATAGTGGTAAGTTACTTTCTTTAATTTAAGCATCTTCAAGCTATTTTTTTGGGGGTTACCATACTGTAATTGACATGGATTGACCACCCCAGCTTTTGAGGTCCAGTGGCTACTTAAATAAGACACAACTCGTGTGTGCAAAAAGTGGTGTACAGTACTGATCAAAAGATATAGGCAAAAGCCATGATAAATCATGGCCAAGACATCCCCCCACTTTTGGCTTTGAGGTCTACAGAATCAATTATAATGTATATATATATATATGTATTTGCTTTGGAGTCCCATAGCACCATCCCTGATGGCTGTACCCAGCTGTACCACATGGTATCATTGTTGGGGTTAACTAGGACTGCAGCATCCAATATCATCTAATGTCCATACTATGATTCTGATGGTACTTTTCAGTCCCGAGCGATGGGGGTGAGGGACGGCGCACATCATTCCACATGATGTTTTTGAATGAAGCCATAGTTGTGTGTTTTCCAACACTCATCAGAGGTTGGTTGTACTATCATGAACCTGTTCTTGTCGGTTGCATCCATGACGAAGCTGGTAGACATATTGGCATCCTTTGTATTCATTTGTTATGTTTCAATTTATGCTCTGCTCAACCCACAGATGTGACCCAACTTTCATTTTGGCTTCCCAACGAAGTCATGAGATTGTGAGGTAGCCCCTTGTACGGGCTGGTTGTCGTCCAGTAAACCAACATAGCTATGGAAAATCAACATTTCAATATTTATTCAGTTTACTGGAGAGTATGCAAAACAATGGATGTTTGTTCACAGGGGTTAACGGATTACTCCTACCATCGCCATCATGGAATGGATTGAAAAAGCAAACATATTAGTATGAATTAGTAGGTAGCTATTTAATACCAGTACTGCCATAGATTCTGGTTTTATTCAAAATTAGTATGGTTATGTACCATACATGGGGATACATTTATCAATTATAATGTATATATATATATAATTATAATGTATTTATACCTATTCATAAAATATCAATTAGTGGGATAGCTATTCAAAAACCTCTATTTCATTGGATTGGTTTGAGGGAAAACCTACAGGACACCCCTATATTTTATAGAGTATAAACATGTAAAAAACCATCAACCATCATTAACCATCATCAGTCATGATCAATCATCATCAACCATATTTTTTCCAAAATATAACCATTATGATAATTTTATATAATTAATTAATAACTATCATTTCCCATAATCCACCATGAAAATTATATAATTAATCACTGGTTGGTGGTTTGGAACATTGTTTGTTTTTCCATATATTGGGAATAAACTCATCCCAACTGACGAAGTCATATTTTTCAGAGGGGTAGGTCAACCACCAACCAGATAATTCATCATGATATGGGTCAATACCTATTAATACCACTTTTAAATGAACATCCATTTACCAGCTATTTTGATGTGAACTACAGGGGTACAAGGTTTTGACACACTGCCATATGTATCTCTAGCATTTGCAAATGAAAATAATGAAACACGAATAAACATGAATAAACCAGACATATGTAGGCCATATTATCATGATGAAGCGTTGTTAACCACTGTCAAGCCATTGGTTTCAGCAGGCCAAGGGAGCGGTCCCCTGTGGCAGCCGCTGCTGTTGCCCCAAGGATGCCACCCTTGATGGCGATCGGCGTGTGCTGAGAGTCTTTTTGTTAATGTACAATTAACAAGCAATCTCTTGTCTCTATACATATATATATATATACACATAGTTACATGTAAATGTAGATTATTACTTTATATATGTGGATGTTTATGCTTCTTTAATACATAAGGTACCTCCATTTTTCCGGCCAGGCAAACCGGTGGTTGTCTACAAGGGGTCGAGCAGTAAAACAAGACCATCCCCAAAAAAGTCATGGTATACATCTATATACATCTTACAAACATGATATTTAGTACCATTTCATACCCAAAAAAACATACCCTCTGGTAAACTAACATAACTATGGAAAATCACCATTTTTAATGGGAACATCCACATAAATCCACTATAACTGGCCATTTTCAATAGCTATGTTAGTCATTACCAGAGGGTAATTTGTTGATGGGTCCATTCGAATCGATGATTTTTTCGATGCGGATCACAGGAGAGGCCCTGCTGGAGGTCAACGTCGTCGCAGGACATAGCCATGGTATAGATGGCCCATAGAAATAGATGGTGTACCACAGGTGTACCTATTAAAAATGGTGATTTTCCATGGCTATGTGACAAATAACCAGATGGTATCATTTTTGGAGTGGGGAACATTGCATCATATACATCAAACAAATCATCAATTTGATGAACCCTTGATTTTTTTTTGGGGGGGTTACATGAAAATTATACTCAGATCTCTCGTTTCCCCTGTATTCACCCAAGGAGTCTCGTTGCAGCAAATGTGCAGGTGCGAGAGCCCGGTTCACCCAATGTGATAGTCTGTTTTGCAGGGGGAACCAACGACAATCTTATATGGGGATGGGTAAAAAATTGGGGGGAATAAACATCCATTAACCAGCTATCATAGGGAAACATCCGGGTACCAGGTTTTGACTCATCGCCATATTCAATGTAATCCTGTGCAACCCCACGTTTGGACACCAGCTTCTCCTGGGATCCCTATCGCTGCCAGGCGCCTTTGTACAGTGGCGTGAAACACAAGGTTTTTCTGCGGAACGGATGTTAGCAGGCCACCAGATCAATGCTTGCAGAGATTTGCGGATGGTAAGTGGACATGTTTCGAGTGGATTCCATCCACGTGGCCGTGAAGCAGCTTCCAGCTTTGGATCTTGTACTGGCTTGGGTAGCTCCCTACTCGTTGGCGCCCGGATCTGCCCGGTCAGGTTTGCTGCTAGCACCCCGTTCAGCAATCTTCATCCAGGACGTGGCGACATCATGGCAATTGATAACTGGAAATACACTAATGTAGTCTAGAAGAACGAAACATGTGTGGTATCGGTGTCACTTCGGCACATTGTTGTTTCATATGTAGGGAGCCAGTGTCAGGTTGGATGCCTTCTGCTTTGCAGGATCTTCTGCAAGCATGTGGAAGCACATCGCCTTTTGCTGATCGATCTTGGGTCGGTGTCACCCAGTGAGATGATGGCACCTGCGTCAAAGGGTCATCGCTGAACCAAGTTTCCTGGATGACCAAGCTGGTTTTGAGGCTTGGTTGCTGGCGAGGCTTTTCGCCCCTCAGGCAATGGTAGGACCTGCTGGATATGTGAGAGATGTGGAGAGAGTGTACGGGGGGAAGACTGAATGCCTGAAGCTTTCAATTCTTGAGATTGATCAAAGTGCCGAGGCATGCCAAGACGTAAAAACGAGGATGCAACCGAGGATGCAACGAGTCCCAACAGTTTCAACTTGGGTGTGTCTGAAAATATGCGACCCCAAGATCCATGGGGTTATCATCGATTCCCTGCAAGAATTGTGGGTGAATTTCCCATTTTCAGGTACCACACCCGCATGGAGGTTTCCCAAATGTGGGTCCCCCCAAATCATCCATCAAAAATCAGGATTCACATGGATGTACGGATTTTACCATTGGTACACCATCGAATTTGGTGATTTCCCCATTAGGGAAACACCTGTTTCAACATCCGCCTTACACCGAGCTGCAACCAGTTGACAGAGATGCCACACATCATGGCGTGGGCTGAAGACTCCTTTTGGCACCTTGACTGCACTGGAGATTGGGAGGTAGTACGGAGGAGAGTGGATTGCTACACGAGTTTTATGAGGATGAATGTGGAGTTTAAGTCACGACCTACGATTTTTTTCCATGACAGTAGCATGACTTCTTTGGGATCATACATGCATTATTTAGCAGAATTTGGCCAAAAATAGTTGACGACATCTTCATATGCTTGAAACTTTTCCTAGAATTATGATGATTTACCCTCTGGTAAACTAACATAGCTATTGAAAATTGCCAATAGTTGATTTACCCATTAAAAAATTGTTATTTTCCATAGTTATGTTAGTTTACCAGAGGGTATATTCCTTTCGCTTGTTTTACTAGGCGCCACACAGTCTGCAAACCATGAACCCCCGCAGTCTGCAACCATGGTATTCATCACGAGTCGCATCATGGTCGATCATCAGCCCCTTAAGAAAAATGCCATAAATTTGGTATCCATCCGTATCCCATATTGTTGGATCAAGCCACCTTAGTGCTTTGCAGTTTCAACAACTTTCAGAAATTGTTTCTTCGAGATTCTTGCATAGGCTTACACTATCTACGCTATCCAGTAACCAGTATTTCCAACCATTGACACCAACCATTCCCAACTCACTCAACTCACCAACCAGTCAAGCAACCAAGCATTGAAATTCGTGGATAGAATTAACACCCACCAACCATTGACCAACTCATGTAACCCGCTCAGGTGGGCTTTGGGCCTGGTCCACGCTTTGGTTGGACATCTCTTGGCAGAGGTCACCGGTTTTCGTCGAGCCGTCGGGCCGTCGAGTTATGTCGAGTTACGGGGTGATTCTTCAGTCGTTGTGTGAAACCGCAAGGTTTGTTGGTGATGTTTGAACAAAAAACTATGGACATTTCTGGGATAATCATAATGGATAATGATGTTTGATGTTACATTTTGATGGCTTTTGATGATGTGTTTGGTGGTTGTTGATGGTTGTCGATGCTGTCAATCTTGTCGGTTGTGGATGGTTGCGGATGGTTGTGAATGGTTGTTGCATGTTTGAATGTAATTTATTCATAGATTCGGGCTAACACTGTAGGGTAGTTTGCAAGCACGCAGCTTAACAAGCAGAAGGGTTTGTGGTTATATAGACCCCTTGAAGGCAGAAAACAGGTTGAGAAAAGCTGGTATTGTAGTAAATGAAGCAAAAGTAAAATAAAGACTCTTGGCTTGGCTGTTAGACTCTTTCAAATGAAAAGAACAGATCAAGGTTGTTGCACACTTGAAGCAACACCAGCTTGAACAATGACATGCACAATTTAACTTCATCATTCATCAGTCAGCAACTGATAGTTGCGCTCCCAAAAGCACATTGCGTTTTCATGCTAGGCCAGTTTGCTTCTGCGCCTTTGCATCATTTGCATAGGCCGGATGATGCCGGATGCTTGGGACCAATTCCAAAATGAGAAGGAACAATAATGAAAGACATGGATAGATATGGGACATTTGATCATGAAAATCAAAGGGAAGTGTACGAGCGCTTCTCTAAGCCTACAGAAGGTTTGTGTTCCCCATGAACATTGGCCTTTGAGCACAGCCAAAGTGCAGTGAGATCGTTCCAATGGTTGTATACGTCTCATAGGTATCGGTCAAGATTCAAGAACCCCTATGTTCGGTGTCCTAGTATCCTGCTAAGTATCCAAATCAATTGACCCATCATTCATCATTACCATTTTTTTCTGGTTGAATACTAATCTTGCGTTGCCTAACCCCCCAAGATCGCCAGTGCTGCCCCTCCTCACGGATTGACTCAGAACATCTTTGGTTATCCATGTTTGTTGGTTGAATCCTAAGAAATTGTGGCACAGTAACTCCGCTTTTCCCGTTACAGTAACTCATAGTAACTCCAAATTTTTGCCGGTTTTATTTTATGAGTAATAGAAGAAATCCTCAAAAACCTGGCCATGGGTCTTGCAGGAGTGTTTTGGAGCCAGAGATGATCAAAGAATAGTACCAAATGGGGAGAGACAAAGGGCCTATTCTAACCCCTAAGAATCACATGGTAGCAACCAGCTTATATCCCAGTATCAATCCAATCATCTCGAGTTATCACTCCATAGTACCTCCAGTCTTATCCAGTTATAATTCTACCCTCCGGTAATCAAGCATGGCTGCTGGAAAATCCTCTATTTATATAGATGATTTTCCCAGCTGAAAACCTTTGATCTTCCCAGCTAGAAAGCTCCATTCAGGTCGGGGATTTTCCAGCTAGCCATGTTTCATGAAACCAGACGGTAATTCCAAATTCATGTTCACTATGTCAATCAGTGATCATGGCTTTCTATGATTATATATCCGTTATTAATACCATTATTATCCATTATCAAAATTATAACGACCTCACTGCGACCTCACTATGATCATAGTTAGTAAGGGGAATCATCCCAAAATGGCCTTAATTCAGGTTAGTGAAATATTGTAATTACCCAGCATTATATATATATATATATATTAGCAGGGTTTCAAAGGCTTTCACAATAGAGCCCGTCTTGGACTGGCCTGCGCATACGCATACATAAACGGCTTCAAATACGCAAACAAAACGCATATTCCCGACATATTCAGAAATTGCGGCTACTAGTTGTTTTCTTTATGTTTCTGTTTGCGTTTCTTTTACGTAAGCGATAAAATAAGGCCTTATTTGCCCAAAATAAGGTCTTATTCTTCCCCCGACATAAATAAAACATAAACCATATACACATGTACAAACACAAACGTTACAAAATGTGTTTGCGTTCTCGTTTGCGTTTTGTTTATGTTTTCTATACGTGCGTTCCAAAATAAGGCCTTATTTTGCGTGATTTGCACAAAATAAGGTACTATTTTTCCTCCGACATAAAAAATACATAAATTCGCAAACGTATACATAAGTAAAACATAAACACAACGCAATCCAGTCCCAAAATACGTTAATATGTCACATGTATTTCGCATATGTTTCACATATATTTCACATACGGCTCATATATGTTTTCACGTGCGCTGCACATACGCTTCACATACGCATCACATACGTTCCACCAGCGTAAAAATCTATGTTTCATAAGAGTTTTACATATGTTTTGCATCCGCGGCCACTTAGGATATGTATACGTACCCCCTCGTCAGCTCCTATAGACAGAAACCCTGGAGGCTTTTGGGATTCAGCTAATATATATATATATATAGAATATATACATATATAGTATCATGATGATTGGAAACCTATGTAACATATTATCCAGATTATGACCTGTCATTTATCCATTAGTATCCCGGAATCCCCATTAAATCAGATATATCCTCATTAAACCATGCTATCCATATTGACTATCATCTAGTATTCCCTATTATTCCACGAATCATCTTGTTATCCCATTCTTATCAATTATTCATCCATCATGAACACTCATGAGCCATATTAACCATCATTATCTGTATATTATATATTGATGTTATTCACTGGTTATGAACGGTTGTGAATATCCAACCATATTGTCTATATATTACCAAAGAATATACTAAATATATTATCCATATGATGGTGAGATATTATCCATATTATTCTCCATATGGTCCATATCAATATATTATCATTATCCACACAATATCCTATATTATATAATGGTTATTGTGAATAGAGGTTACTGAATATATACATATATATCATATTAACCATTAATGATTAATTCATGGTTATTGTGAATCAATATGATCCATATATATACATATATATATATATATGAACCATGAATCATCTCCATTGGAGCCATCGCAGGTCCAGGGACCAGATCCCTACGCCGACAAGCCATGACACAGGAGTCGAGTCGAGGCTTTCCTAAAATGGGGGATCTCCATAAAATCATGGGAAGCAATACTAAAAGTAGAAAAATCGTCTATAAGTTTGGATGATTTGGGAGTGTATACTTCCATGGCTTAGGAAACCTCCATTCATGGCTGATTTTTGGCCAAACTTATGGGATACGATTGCAGCTTATAGATGCGCACATGTGGGACATATCATGGAATATCAACAAGCTGCAGGTGGGTTGTTTCAAGCATGTTCACATTTTCTACCCCCCAAATGCGACAATTCTCCACAGCCGGCATATTTGTTGGGTGTTTCCATTGGTGGCAGGAGATTCAGTTGAGCCTTCAAAGCGGCTTAGCATCTCTGGTGTTGGTGGCCGGCACATTGGCATTGCATTTGGCACCGGGAGGTGCGATGGGAGGTGACCAAGGGAATGTTCCTCCTCCTCGCCATGACCATCAAGCACCAACATGGTCAACACATGCCAATACAACTGTAAAGTATAAACCACGAGATCAGTGGGCGAACTCCCCCATGACTATACAACTATTTACCATTGATCATTCACAATTACAAGGACAGCATTCTTCAATGGAGATGTTTTACCATCAGCTAATAATCATGGCGAATGGGATATATCAACATGGCAAATCATATCAGCCACCACCATCAGCCCTGGCTGTTTCTGTGTGGAGCTTTTGGGATCGGATTCATCACAGCTGGTAGGTTCCGTGATGCTGGGATGGGCCGTCAGCCTGCTTTTGGCCTGGCGCTGCTGGGAGGTCCCGAGCTGTTAGTGCAATGGATCAATTGAGGGCATCTAATTATATGTATATCTCTCTCTCTATACATATATATATATATACATAAGATAGCCATGAATACATACATACATTACATTGCATTATTGCATTACATTGCATTACATTGCATTACATTGCATTACATTGCATTACATTGCATTACATTGCATTACATTGCATTACATTGCATTACATTGCATTACATTGCATTACATTGCATTAAATACATACCAACATGCATACCAACCTACATACCAACATACATATTACATACATGCTACATACAATAATACAATAATACAATAATACAATAATACCATAATACCATAGACAATAATACAATAATACAATAATACAATAATACAATAATACAATAATACAACAACATAGCATAACATAACATAACATAGCATAACATAACATAACATTACATTACATTACATTACATACACACATATGTATATATACACGAGTATGTATATACATAATTATACATATATATATACATATATATAAAATAGATGTGAGGACGTATAGTATATTATGTATATATATATGTACACACATATATAATAAATGTAGATACATGCGTAATGTTAGTTTCAGGTTGCATCTGCACTTGGGAGGATCAATGACCCCACTTGGCAAAGATTGTTAAGGAGTCTCCTGCAGAGGATGATGCTGTAGACCATTCAGTTTCAACAGCAGAACGAAGATAAGTCTCTCATAACCCCCCCGTGACTTTCAGGCTGTTATTTTGATTTAAGTTGGACATGTGGGTTTTCTGAAGACAGGTGACCCCATTTCATCCACTGGTTCATCATCATCTTCCCACATCTGCCCATATCTTCCCTCTTGAAATGGCTATAAATCTATATAAGAAATAGAAATCTAGGCTTAATCCATGTGAATTCCCCATTTTCAGAGAGATTTCCATGCTGGACATGTTGAAATTTCCACTGTCCCGTCGCCCCGGGGCCAGGCCACGGTGGCTCCGTTCTGGTGGTTTCGTGCACGGCGCATGGGCATGGCAGCGTCTCATTTGTTGGTGGTTCTGGTGACTTGGTGCCGGGATGTTCAGCTCGAAAAAGTGGGAAAACTGGAAGATACTGTATATGGTGGAAACAGCGTCGAACAAAGATCCTGTTGGCACACTTTTCGGCATCTTTTCGAGGGTTGGTATATAGCCAGACACTATCACACGATTAGATGTTTAGTGAAGTGTTTTTGTGGTTGGATGAATTTAAAACATAGCTGGGGAACAACACACCACCAAACGATCATGTAACGTACGAGCTCCTACTGAACCCCCATTTGATGTAATTTGTGGTTTTTGTGGTGAGGTGCGGATGGTTTATGATGGTTTGACACCTCCATTTTGATGCCAGTGATGTGGATTTCAGCATCGAACATGCTGTGTTTTGGGACAAAATCTATTCATAAAAGGAGTATCGAGGAGCCCTGTTTCTTTTTTTAAAGTACCTGAGGCACTGCTGAACCGTTCGAAGAACATCCACTTTGATCTCTTCACTTCATTCATGATGCTTGGACCAGGCCGATTCGGCTGGTGCAAGTTTTGCCGCCATGATCTTTCCATTTGGACAGCAGAAAACGTTTGATGAGTGCTGCCGGCCACTGCTACTTCTGCTGATGACAGTGGTGCTTTGTGGGTTTGTGAGAATTATATTCCATTTCTCATCGTAGCTTCCTCTTTTGTATGTTCGTCTCACTTCTTTCAAACTTGAGTCAGGTGAAATTATAAGTTTGCCTTCAAACCCCATTAAGCCTTCATAAGCCCCGCTTTTTTTTTCATCGCCTGTTTGACACATTCACTAAGTTTGGTTGCATGAACCATTACCCTCTGGTAATTTAACATAGCTATGGAAAATCACCATTTTTAATGGGAAAACTCACTATAAATGGCCATTTTCAATAGCTACGTTAAATTACCAGAGGGTATTTACTTTTTAAACACCACTGGTGCTCGGATAGAAAACTGAGAATGGACCTTCAAGATCGTGGCCAGGAGCCTTTTTGGGCTGCAAGATTGCTTTGGAATTCTTCGTGGGAGAGCGAACGTGCCTAGACTCGACAAAGAACAATGCGGAGAATGTGGGTGGGCAACCATTTGGGCCAGCCGTGGGGGGCCAAGGATTTTGATCCATTTGGTGTTTTCCGAAGTGGATGAAGGTGAGTGACTCTTCCTGAGATCGACACAATGGGTTTGCCCAAATTTGGATTGGAACATGTCATGGAACATACAAAACAAATAGCCTTGCTTGTCATGGTTTATTAGATATATTTCCCATGAAGCATGGCTGTCTTATTGTCTTTTTGTTGATAAATGAACAGCCATTGGATTCTTGGGTACTGGGAGGATTATAGCCTATAGCCACAAACTTAGGTCTTTAGCATCTGGCCTTTTTTTTGGATTATTGCAGGTGTGCCTCAGTTATTCCACGAATAATAGTGGAATCAGCTCAGCTCAGTGAAATCCATTGTGGGATCAACAACAATGGGGTACCCCAAAGTCATCCAAGTCATGGCTGACCATGACGTCGCATTGAAACCTATGGTTTTTGGGTATCCCCATTTTAGGAAACCTCCATATTAAAAACACTTATATAAGTGAAATCCATTGTGGCATCAAAAAAACATATCAATCTGAGGTAAACTACCGATGTGGTAAACCCCATGGTTGAAGAGAATCATCTACACATGGTGGGCTTTCCACCTCTATGTTAGTCAAGGCCTGTCTTTGTGCAACGTTGGCGCTTCCTGGAAAGTTCGGTGGAGCAACTCGCAACGTTAACGCGTCGACAGCTGCGCTTCGCACCCAATGTGCCCTGGCGAAAAATGGATGGCCTATCAGCCATGGGTCAAACCTAAAAATCGGATATAGATGAGGGATTTTTTATTTTCCTATATACTGGGAATTGCCATCTATAATCGGGATACACTCTCTCTTGTTGAAGCAACAGAATCTGATTCGGGTCTGAACATGGGGTATACACCCTATTTATCGCGATACTATCCTCGACCCTCCACTGCCGAGGAAAAAATGGTCGTTCTAAGAAGATAGGTCAAACAAACCAAAAAATGATTCACTTTGTTCCAAACATGTATGTTTCTGGGAAAATCTCAGCACTACGGCCGGGTACACAAACCGTGATGATTTTTGGAACAACCAAAAAAATCCGAAAACTACCTAAAACAACGAGATTTCAGGATTTGCGGGTTTTTGCGTGTTTTTGCGGGTTTTTGCGGGCTTTTTGCGGGTTTTTTGCGGGGTTTTGCGGGTTTTATCCCCAGTCGTTTGATGCGCTGCAAACATTTTTTGGCCTTTGTCTCACCAAACCCAAAAACATGCAATCAAAGTCCTAAAATCCAAGATCTAGGTGTTTTGGGTAAAATCAGCCGATATAGGTCAAATTCCGAAAACACATATTTTTCTAGGATTTGGAGGGTCGAGGATAATAGGCAAAAGAGGTTTCAAACGATGGGATTTAGGGGTACCCAATTTTCGGACAAACCAACAAAAACAGGAATCTACAATTTTGAATGAGGCAATTGCTTGTCATGTAGGATCCACAATAATCAATGAATAAACCATCCAGGACCATCCCTAAACATCAACGATTTGTGTGCTATCACAAATCATCCCAAGCAGGGGTACGCCCAACAATAAGCCACACATGGTGAATTGGGAATGTGGAGATGGTGTGTGGGATTTATCCGTAGACAAAGGTGATCAAAGGGTCCACATGGATTGTATTGGGACACTTTCTACGTAGTGGTTCTTTATTGTAGATTTGTTGGTGGTTTAATGTTGATTTTTATTTTCTTTTTTTACTGGATACACACATGGGATGCTGATCCCCACGTGACCTTCAAGTTTGTCGATGGGATGGGTTGAAGTCAACAACTACACTTTGCATCCCTTTAAGAATTTCACATAGCTACAGTATGGAACATTACATATTCCTTTCTAGGTAAATCATCTAGAAATGGTCCGTTTTCCAGAACTATGTCAAATTACCAAAGGGTACTGTAACTCCCCATCAAATTCCCGTTAAATTTCCATCAGATTCCCACATTAAATCACCATTAAATGTGAATCAACATCCAATTCCCATTAGATTCCCATTAAAATCTCCATTTGTTGATGGTTAATCCTTGAGATGTTCACTGATGATGTCGGTGACCCACCAGTCTCTCAGTTTGTCGCGAAGGTGATTTACATCAGCTCACCAGAGGAACTGACAGGAGAGGCCAGAGAGATACTCGGCAGCAGTTTTCAGGAGTGGGGTAGAATCGGGTAGAAGCAAATTCAAACATGGGGACGGATCGAAACCTATGAATCATAGTTTGGGGGAATAACCATCCATCAACCAGCAATTTTAGGGTGACAATTGTTAGATGATAATTTATGAAACCAAGACCAGTAGTAATTCAGTAGTACCGCACAAGGCGGTGGCGGAAGTTTCAAAAATAGGAAACCTATAGGAGAGGTTGGTTGTTGTGAATCACGGATGGCAGAGCGAAGCCACTGATGGACCGAAAGGTGGTTGAGGTCTCCTCTCTTTCTCTCTTTCTCTCTCTTTCTCTGACTATCTACCTATCTATCAGTCTGACTATCTATCTATCTGTCTGTCTATCTATCTATCTGTCTGTTTGTCTATCTATCTGTCTATCTGCAAGCGTGACAACGAAGCTATTCTGCAAGACTTCCCAGTTTTTGAACTTGACAACATCAAAAACGCAGCAAGTCAGCGAGACTTCCTTAATTTTTGCGCTTGACAACGTCAAAAACGAAGCAATTCTGTTGACAACATCAAAAAACGAAGCAATTCTGCAACACTTCCTTCCAAAATGGAAAGTTGAGTGCAGAGCTGACGGCCTCGTACCACTACGTTTTGCGATTTTTCCAGTCCACCTGTCTAAAGTATTGCGCCTGCCACGGAAAAGTGATACCGGGTCATACGAAGTGCTGCACCTGTCACGCAAAATAATCTTAGCAAACCTAAAGATCTGATGCTCCAAAATGCAACCCCTCTCAGGAAATCAGCGCCCGGACCTCTCTTGTACTGCAGCTGCCACGGAAAATGCATCTTTGCAGATCCTCTTCAAATGTCCCACGCCTGCCATCGTTTTTGGAACGGAAAGGATTGTTGTGAGCGGCAGAATTCACAAGTTTTGGGGAAGAAAAGTTTCATCAGAATAATTTCCTACTGCTTGCCCTCGCAAGAATCGTTTCTGACACATGTCATGGCACCACGTAATTACACTACATCAGTCATCTGCCTACATCTGCCCTACATTCGTCCAATTACACACATCTGTTTCCAACATCTGCCTTCACTTCTCTGCATTGACTGCACAGATTAATCCAGATTAATCATGATTAATCTAGAACCAAAAAACAAAAAGCAAAAACACACACACAAAAAAAAACAATGTTTCCACAACTACTCTGACCTCTAGACTAGTTGCCAAATCTTTGTTTTTTTTGTTTTTTTTTTGGCTCTAGATTAATCATGATTAATCTGGATTAATCCTGATTGATCACTGGCATAACATCATACATCACAACCCTGGCTTTTCGCTTGACTCCGGCTCTTAGTTCGGGCCTGCTTGTCTGCTTCTGTGTCTGTGTCCGGTCTTGCCCTGTCATGTTTGTTCGGTTTCTCGAGGTTTTGGTATTTTCCTGATTAATTAATCTGGATTCGTAACGTCCTACATCATGACTCCGGCTAGTTCCGGCCTTCTTGTCTCCAAATTTGGAAAATCAGATGCTCGGAGACTTGGGCATGGGTTGAGGGCAATTTTGTAGTTCATCTATTCCACCTAGTTTTCTGCAGAAGTTGGCACTGTTCAAAAACAATGCCGCAACAATTGAAACAAAATAAAGCAGACAAAGTGCACTTAGGACATGGGTTCGGCATTTTTTACATACAATCTTCCAATATCTGTGATCCCAAGTCTTATTTTTCAAAGAAGGTGATATTCCTTACAGAAAGTGTTGCCTGACTTTGTGCATTCCCTTTGAAAGATTGTAATATCTTTGAGAAGAGTGCAGTAATGGTCTGAAATGGACCTTCAATGCGTATACAATTTCATAAAAGTATGGCGCCTTCTGCTAACAGATTCCAACAGCATTTCAAATTAAGGTCCACATATATATATATATACATATATATATACATATATATATATATACATATATATATATATATACCATGGTGTTCTTTCGTGATCATGGCATTCTTTGAAGTGAATGTTTATAACATGTATAACTATCTGGAATATATTCCTTCAAGAAAGTGCATCATCTCTTTGAAAAGGGTGCAAGATTTCCTCAGACATCAAAACATAATTCCGAATTTCAAGATGGAATTCTTTTGTGTTTATAGTGTTCCTTTTTATCAAAAGAGTATGATATTCCCTGAAAAAATGTGGAAAGCGTTGTTTTCTTTAAAAGCTACCAGCTCCTTGAGGGAGATGCAACATTCTCTTAAGACAATGGAACTTTATTCCAACATGTGATCCTTTTACATATGCAGCACTCTTTCTGAAATAATATGCCCCTTGGTGCATAAATGATGGAATCACTTGATGAAGAAGAGTGCACAACTCTTTCATATTGAATACAGAAACTAGTTTCTTTAGAGAAAGACCTGATTCTTAAGGAACAGCAAACGAAAACTGAACCTTTTCAACATGAATACTACACGTGTGAAGACAATTATTTTTACTTTTGCAGGAACATGGCTTCTTGAAAAGGATACTAGTCATTTGACGTGATGTTCAAGGACTATAGTGTTGATGCATTGGGCATTGCACTTTTGACATGAATTCTGCATATTAAAGGGATGGTTGTAAATTGAAAAGCATGTTACATATGGCACAGGAATATTGCCTATTTGAAGGGATATCATGTGGAGTAAGATATCGCTTTTTCAGAAACGAATGCTGCATCTTTTAGATTTTAGAGGATTTCTTCGTAATTGTAGGGGTATTGCTTGTTGAAAAAAGCATTGTACCTTTTCAAAGGATAAATGCAATCTAAAGAAACATGCTTCTTTATAAGCTGGGGATACTTCATTGTTTAGAACAGGAATGCACTATCTTAAATTCAAGCTACATATTATAGAAACATGTCTACCCCTAAAATGGAAGGCTGTACAGAAAAAAACACGTTTTATTTTGCAAGGGATACTGGAAGGATTCATGAAACTATTTCAAGGATATTCTATAAGATGCACATATGTTTCAACATACTTATTCCTGAATTGTGTTTATTTACATTTATGATCATTTATGGCTCTTTGACTCTGTATTTACTTAATTGCATTCAATAAGAACAACATATTTCACAAGGAGACTCTTAAACAAGAAATATGATATGACTTTAATAAGATTTTGCATGGGAATTGCATGGAACTAGATGTCCAATAATTTCTGAATAAAAACCTGCCTTTCTTGATTTATGGCAATTTTGAGCACATAGTTGGGTGAAAAGTAGCACATAGTTGGGTGACAGATACAAGTATGTACTTGAAGTGCAACTTGTTCATATCTGGATCAGAAGGATTTGCGAAAGAGAATGCCATTCATTTAAGCAAATTTTCTGCCGCTCAGAACAGTCCCCTCCCTTTTGGAAATGCTACAAAACCCTCACGTTTTGCTCACTTTTGACAAGGTGCACAATCCCTTGCGCCTGCCACGCGAAACGACATCTGAACGCCCAAAAATGGTCCGAATCCCTAGTGTTTTTAACATTTTGACTTCGAAATGTGCTTCGTGCCATAACGGCGTGCATTTTTTCGACATCTCAACTTCCAAAAGTGGTCCGGAGCTGGTGTGATTTCTACATTTTGACTTCGAAATGTGCTTCGCGCCAGAACGGCGTGCACTTTTTCGACATCTCAACTTCCAAAAGTGGTCCGGAGCTGGTGTGATTTCTACATTTTGACTTCGAAATGTGCTTCGCGCCAGAACGGCGTGCACTTTTTCGACATCTCAACTTCCAAAAGGCTCCGAATGGGAGGTGTTTTTAGCTTTTTCACTTTCAAATGTGCTTCGCGCCACAACGGCGTGCACTTTTCCTACATCGCAACTTCCAAAAGTGCTCCGAATGTGAGGTTTTTTTAGCTTTTTCACTTGCAAATGTGCTTCGCACCACAACGGCGTGCAATTTTTCATCTCTCATCCGGCCAGCTGGCTCCGCACCCGCCGCTTTAGGGAGCCTACTTTTCGACCCTCAGGAGCCACAAATCATTGGAAAAACATAGTGTTTCGCGACTTTCCTACCTTTTAGGGCATCTGCATCTTCTTTCTTCTTGGACTTTCTCTTTTGTGATCTTCTTTCTTCTTCTCTTCTCTTACTCTGCCCATCTCTGCTTTTCATCTGTCCATATTGTCGGAAGTTTGACTTCTAAACTTCCTTCGATAATTAAAAATCATATTGACCTTTAAGTTTAAGGCTATGATAATGGTTTCACAATAATTTTGCTAATATTTATTGGCCTCATTATCTAGATGATTATGACCATTGTTTCCACTTATGATTTTTGTATTAAAGTCTTTTCGAATATGTTGCCTATTGGAAGTTGGGATTTACCCCCGTCATGGTTGATCAATATATATATATATATATGTAATATATTTAACATTTACATCGTATATATATATTGTATGATATATATATATAATATAGTATGTTTAAAAATAAATATAGTATATACATAGTATATAGTATATTTATAGTATTTCTCTATATAGTATATACAATATATAGTAAATATATAGTATATATATAGTATATATATAGTATATATATATATAGTATATATATATAGTATATATATATAGACTATATAGTATATATATATAGTATATATATAGTATATATATATAGTATATATATAGTATATATAATATATAAATAGTACATATAGATAGTATAATGTATATATATATATATACAACTTATACACCGTATATTTATTGTATACATATAATAATTTATATATATATATAGTATATACATAGAGTATATATATATAGTATTTTTTTTTAAATAAAAAATAGTTCTTTTAATAGTATTTATATAGTATTTATATAGTATTTATATAGTATCTATATAGTATGTAATGATATTTATAGAGAGATAAATAGATAGATAGATAGATAGATAGATAGACAGATAGATAGATAGACAGATAGACAGGTAGACAGCTAGACAGATAGACAGATGAAAGAGAGAGGGAGATAGATCGATAGATACAGTAGATAGATACATAGAAGATAGATAGATAGGTAGGTAGGTAGATCGTCAGAGAAAGAGAGCGAAAGAGAGGAGACCTCAAGCACCTTTCGGTCCATCAGTGGATTCGCTCCGCCATCCCTGATTCACAACAACCAACCTCTCCTATAGGTTTCCTATTTTTGAAACTTCCGCCACCGCCTTGTGCGGTACTACTGGTATAGTATGTATATATATATATATTGATATTGATATGTATATAATTTCTTTTGAAACTTGCAACTCCAACTGGCAGTATCATAACTTTGGAAGTGCGGAGACTTGGATAGAGGTTTCATGCGAGTTGTGTCACGGCACAGTGATGTACCGGACTACCTGGGGATTTCCAGGTTGATATGATACCACTGCGATGCGCTCATGATACCTTTGCCTTTCAGGGTAGGAATAGGCAGAATTCCACCAGGGTTTTCCAGGGTGTGTGTGTGTGCGTGTGTGCAACATCTGAATAGATGTAAGACTTCTGTTATGCTTCCTTTTCATATAATATATTGCGGGGGTCACCGGGGTCCCTGGGGGATCGGTGACCAACGAAGACACCTCCCCGGGACCCGTGTAAACGTACCCGCAGGACTTCGGTGGTGCACCTGGGCGAATCTAAGTCGCAGCTGGTGGCCACCCTAGTCATATATATATATACATATATATTCATAAAAAAGGTCAGGTCTAGGTTTAGGTTTATGGGATTCAGTTCCCAACGGATCACTCTAATGATCCATTTCTTGTCTAATGTGACTTCCATGGTGGCCCCGGCTTGGTGCCATGGACCATTTGAGGGAACCCTTTTTAGGGTGAATGCTGACTGACCGACTTCCGAATTTACACATTTTAATCTAGTAATTTGTTTAAGTATAGTGAACTCACCACTTTTTTATGACGTCTCGCCGCTCCTGCCGTCCTTGCGAACCCTGGGACAATTTCGATTCTGCTCAAGTGAAGCTGTACGAAACAGCCACAAACTTTCTTATTCCGCCACAGCGACAGAACAACTGCAAGGATCCATGAAAGGTGTCAGGTTCATGCCTGCAGGTGTGGTCTACTTTCTTTTGATGGTATTCTGGTGAGGTTGAACATATCGTGCACCTAATTCGTCTGAACTTGAACAGCTATTTCAGTTCATGTGGCTTGACCGACTTCCGTCCCCTTGAGGGAGCAACGCACGACTCTTTAGGATAGAACTGAATCCCATTAATTGTTGTTTTCTCACTTCTCTTCATCAACTAGTTCCCCATTTGGCCCCTAATTTTCCCCCCTGCCCTTCTGTAATGTGTCGTGGGGTTTAGGTGTGTGCTCTGTGCTGGTGCCCGCCGTGTAGGTTGGTTCTGGAGGTCCGTTTGTTCCCTTCCCCCCCCTGCGCTGTTTTGGCCTTTTGCCCGTCGTTTGTGTCCTCTTTTTTCTCCCTCTTGCCTTTCAGGGTTGACCCGGCTCCGGCCGGGTGTGGGTGTGTGTGTGTGTGTAACATCTGAATAGATGCAAAACTTCTGTTATACTTCCTTTTCATATAATATATTGCGGGGGTCACCGGGGTCCCGGGGCGGTCGGTGACCAACGAAGACACCTCCCCATGACCCGTGTAAACGTACCCGCAAGACTTCGGTGGTGCACCTGGGCGCATCTAAGTCGCAGCTGGTGGCCACCGTGGTCCTATATATATATTTATAAATATAGATATATATATATATATATATATAAGGTCAGGTCTAGGTTTAGGTTTATGGGATTCAGTTCCCAACGGATCACTCTAATGATCCATTTCTTGTCTAGTGCGTGATTAGGGACAGTGGATTACATTGGTGAGATTTGATCAACTCCTTTGCTTGAGACTTGCTACCGAGAACGCATCGCAGATGTGAGGTTCTGGCTACTGGAACATTGGTTTGTCTGAAAATAGGATACCCCTAAGTCCAATGGTTTTTCACCATTTTCCTTTTCCTGGAAGATACACCATTTACAGATGATGTTCCTATCGAAACCTCCATTCATAGTTGATTTCCCAGCTAGCCATGTTTGATGAAACCGCTGTAAACCAGGTACTGTCCCACCATTTAACTCTACAAATTTTGATCATGTTTGATCCATGTTTGGCTTTGAATTTGGACAAGCAGGGGCCAAGATAGATAAACCCGGGTCTCAACATAGGCGTTTAGATTCCGTAGAATTCTGGGGTTTCCATGATCAATGTTTATTTTAATATTGCTGAAACTGATCAACCCCCAAACAACTAGCTTGGATTGTTTGATATGGGTATGCGTCAAAATATGTCAAAATTGGATAACTATGGTCAATACTAAACATGAACAGAATCTGCGTTCCCCTGGACCTCAAATTTCGACCCTGTCCCATATATCCTCCTGTAAACTGACATAGATGTGGAAAACCTACCATGAAAGTAGATAGTTTTCCTAGGAAAACAATGGGTTTTCCACATCTTTTTTTTTGGTTTAGCCTAGGGCCTAGGATACATTAAAATTGACTAGCCACAAGCCTCTGGTGCATCCCCCAGGATCGGCTTAGACTTTGGTGGTTTGTTTCGCGACTGGTTGGCGCAACTGGCCTTAGGCTTGGTTCACTGCGGTGAGTTGGAAAGCTTAAGGTATACCCAACAAATGGCAGATGAACCCGAGTGTGGTAATTTTTTGGAAAGTCATCACCATTTTTTTGGGAAGGTTCAAACGCATGTGATGTTGTGCTTCAGCATCATGAGCCAGCCAATTGTTGGGTGGGAAGACCCTTGGGCATGTCGCTCCCAGGAAGACTTCCCAATTGGCTATTTGTGGGATGGAATGAGATAGCAATGCGCATTGAAACCAGACAACCACCATATGTGTGTCAGCATTTTGACATATTTTGACACTAGAATAGATTTGTTAAACAAAGCATCTAGCTTCTCTTAAGGGTTCCCATCTGTATCCATCCATCACCTTTCCGGATGGTGCTCCCCTTGCCGGATGCGCATCCGTCAGTTCGCAGGCCTGTTTGATGCCGAAAATGGTTTGGTGGAACACAGTTGCTTGGTGCTGCACAAGGTGCGAATGTTCGAAATTTTGGGCACCATTGCTATTTTCTGAGGTAGCTGTAGCTGCTTCAATGAAAAGCAAGTACTATATATCACTATACAATTGTAGAATTATATAATTATATATAATCCATAATAATGCCAACTATACATAACTATACCCTTTCTCATAGATTTGAACTCTCACACGCACTTGGATTTCCGGTGCTCCCGGAAGCTAGACGTCCTGGTTGCATGGATGATGCCTTCCCGTAGGTGATCGGCAGGCTCGAAAATCCTCTTTTGGGGTGTATATAGTTCCAGTTGTAGGTGGTTACATAACCATAGTTATGTGAATTATATCTTTTAACATCCTAAAACATCCTATAACAATATATATATATATAACAATATATATATAACAATATATATATATAACAATATATATATATAACAATATATTTATATAACAATATATATATATATCATACATATATATACATATATAACAATATATATAACTATATATATTATATATATACACATCATACATATATATATATATACACATCATACATATATATATACACATCATACATATAAATATATATATATATATATGGTACCCCGCAAAACCTACCTTCTCATCACTTGTACTGGTAAAGTTCATGAGCCGCCAGCCGCTCGGGAAGAAGGACCTCACCACCATGATGGGCACCATTCAGAGGCAGCTACGGCTTCGTCCTGGAGGTGATGGCGAGTGGACTGCGGATGCTCAGCAGCGCTTGGAAAATTTATTGGCCAACCCGAAAAGGAACGCCGCCACAACCGCGCAGATGGCTATGGAGGATAAGAAGCCATCATCCTCCAGTTCCACATCCGATTCCGATTCATCATCCTCCGACTCTGATGACCCTTCCTCGCCAGATGCTTCTGCAGAGCTCGCACTTACCAAGACCAAGCTCGAGGAGAAGAGCATGGAAGCGAGCAAATGGAAGGAGGAGTTTCAGGGGATCTTCTCGGCATTGCACCACACCTCTTCCGAGCTTGAGAAGGGCAAACACTCAGCAGAAGGAGGTCATCGCGAGGCTTTCTCAAGAGAATGCCGCTTTGCGTCGCCAGCTCCAGCCCGAGAACGCCGTGGATGTCCCTATGGATGAATCTTCGGCTTCTGAATCTTCTGAGCCTGAAATGACATCCGATTGATGCCGTTGAGACAAGGGCATGTGGCAATTAGCAGTGGACATGACAATTCCGAGCAATCAGGCGTTGATGGATTATTGATAGTTAACTGGTTAACTTCGTGTCAAGTAGTACTAGAAATCATTAGGAAGTATTAACAATCAGTGGTTGGTACGTGTCATCAACAGCTACTAAAACATAGCCAGGAAGGGAACATAGCAGCCGGGTAGCGCATCTGCAAGAGCATTTCCCGTGAGCCTGCGCAGGCGTGCTAAAAAGTGCTGTGCGTGTTTGCATCTGGTTGACGTACTGGGACTGCATTTGGAAAGGTAGAACGTTGTCACGGAAGAAACGTAGTGGGGCAACATGTGTCATGTAGCCGGTATAGTTTGTCTGCTGGCATTCAGCAACACCATGCAAACCCATCTCGTCATGCTCTACTTTGTCTCAAACCAGCTTCCCCCGCCGCTCACCGCGTCTGATTGGCCTACCTGCTGCCTCCCACCAACTTCATGGAGCGCCTTCTCGACGCAGCGCTGGCCAAGTATGGTTGCAAGTCTTGCGCGCTGCGCGTCTTGGAGTCTCCGGCTTCTGGCTTGAAAACTGAGGCGATGATTGAAGATCCACTGGATCTATCCTCCTTTGTTTCCAACGTCTGTCGAGAGATCACCTGCATGGCAAGCGTAACCATACTATTTGATGTCCAGATGTCTGTTCCTGAGTTTGCTCCTGTCGATCGGGTTGTGGATGCTGCTCTCCACAATGACATCCAATCCTTGCCTGAACCCATCCGCCCTCCTCGTGACCTACCAGATGGATGTCGCTTGGGCCTGGTGGTTCGCAACATGGCAGATGGAACGCTGCAAGCCTTGAAGATTCTCCACTTTCCTGAGAGGATCCATGTCAAAGATGCCGCGGGATATTGTGCAGGTACTCCTTATGCCCTTGTCCATCGACCAGGCCCTTGGGCATTGAAGAAGGCGTTGTGCTCCTTGATTGGCCGGCTGCCAGGCTTTCACGTGTCTTGGTATGCGCTTGACAATGTGGTCAACAAACCTGCACCACCTCGACGATCGCAATCTTCCCAATGGGCCCCTCCAGACGATGAACTCTTGGCAGGCATCCGGTACATCAATGACTATGCCCCGGAGACTCCCAGAACCAACAATATTATTGGGTTCTATGCCAGATTAAGGATGACTCCGGCTCCCCTACCAGCGGATGGCCTGAGGCCAAGGTTCGCATCATGGCCCAGAACAAAGCCAAGGGGATGGCGGGCGCGCAGCTAGAGACTCACTTCCCCGTCCACACGTAGTCGCTGAAGCCATTCCTTGCTGAGAGCCTGATGCCTTTCCTCTACCCGCTGTTCATGAACTTCGCCTTCATGTTCTTGGGGTGGCCGGGGGTGGGAAAAACGCCTGCTATCATCATAATGATGTTGGCTATGGGGCGTTTTCACGCCTCGCGCTTGGACCTTCCTGCACCTCCAGGGTGGCGGCGGGCCAAGTCGCTGGACAATTTCCGGCACAGGGTCGGCAACATCCATGAAGGAGTGTTCCTGCATGACCCTAGCCGGGAAAAAATCGATTTGGCAAATTTGAAATCTTTTGTCACAACGGAAGAGAACCAAACTTGTCATGGCCGCTACAATGATGTGAAGCTGGCAAAGAATTGCTGTCGAGCAAATGCAGCAAATGACATCCAGGAAGAGGATGAGCCCAAGGATGACAGCAGCAGGATGTCCATCACAATGGAAGAGTTCTTGACGCTGCTGCGTCGTACTTTCCCAGGCGACAAGCCGGCAGACATTCACGCCGTGCTCAAAAGAACCGTTGTGTTTGTCTTCTGCAAATAGGCCCTATATCTTCGACTTCCCAGCCGGAATGATGATGCCCCCGTGCACCGGGTCCAAATAGAGGATATTCACAAAGATTTGCTCGCCCCTCATGATAAATTGTCCTATGGCAAGTACAAAATGGAGACACAGCGAAGCCGGTCGGTTTTTATGAAGATGCCATCTTGAAGGAACAGGATATGGTGTCCAAGAGCATGACCAAGCACAGGGAGATTGAATCCGCGCAGGCATATGTGGCCAGTCAATGAGAAGATCTACGATCTCTTGCTGCGCAAGCAGCCCATCCCTGCAAAGGCTTGGTTGCCATCGTCACCAGAGCCTGAGAGTTCTGAGAGGGTAGCTCCCATTTACAAGGATCCCTTGCCTAGTACCGTCCCAAGGCGATTGGGAAAGTTCGTCTATCCACCAAAAAGAAACGCTTGCGGGGCAAAACCTCGGATGATGGCCCCGACTCATCTTCAATGCCTTCAGCTGCTGTCGTCTCGCCCCTCGAAGCTCTTGCTCACGATGCTGAAGCAGACTTGCTTGCAAGGGAAGCTGCTGATGTTCCTGTTCAGGATGATTTCGCTGCTGATGAAGAGGCGGCTGCGTTCATGAGCTCTTAGATCCTCTCAGGCATCGCTGCTCGAGAAATTGTCTCTTTATCTCCACACAATGCTTCGGGAATTGTGTGTGTATAGGTGGCAACTTGAAGTTTCCTGCGAAGCAAAAAAAGTGTTGCGCATGCCGGCACGCATGGTGTTGCAACTCTTCTTTGCTGATTGCTGTGTGACTTCCCGGTTGGGTGGACATCCTTCTATCATCCTTGGGCTCATCCTCTTCCTAGATGCCATTTGTTGCATATGCTCGACAGCAGTTCTCTGCCAGCTTTACATCATGTTAGCGGCCAGGACAAGTTTGTTTCTCGTCCGTTGTGACAAAGGACTTCATTCCATATAGCTTTTGGGTTCACAGTCTAGATTCTTTGCATCTGCACCATGGCTCCGCAGCGCGGCGCTTTCAACCGTTTTCCCGATTCCAAAAAGGGCAAAGGGAGGTCTGTCTTGAAGAGGCCTGCCAAGGCCAAGACCAGTGCGTGGAAGAAGGTGCCGTATGTGCGCGCCAAGGATGCTGTTCAAGAGCAACGTATGGACCGAGCAGCCTGGAAGCGCAAGTTGACAGACTTTCTGCAAGCCAGTGACTCTCAAGTGGTCAAACTACTTCGACAAGATGGGCTGCTACAAGATTGGACAGGCAAGATATGCCCTCGATGTGAAAAGGGTACATTGTCAAAGCTTCAACCCAATGGTGGCCACGGGATGCCCCCCAGTTGGTGCACGGATGCCCTCCGCAAGTTTGGTCCCTTGGCCGAGCGTCTGGAGTGCTAAGGGATGCTAAGTTAACTTGGTTCGTGCAACAGCACAAATTTGGATGATGACTACATTGTACCACTTATACCGGACATACCGGACACCCCATATTTGGATAGTTATACACTTGGAAGATAATTGCCGACTACTGGAGCCATATTTCTAGGACAGGTGGCTCTGACCACCCATATTTTAGCTGGTTCCGTAAGAGGTGATGGATTGCCGTTTGCTTCCAAGATTCTCCCCAATACTGCATCTACATCACCAGCTATCATCTATGACCGATGTCCTTGCGACACAGCATCAACCGCAGCCGCCCTGAAGAACCCAAGCTCGCACACCCGTGCCTCCACTCCGCGCCAAGTAAAAATGGTGGGACCGGTCCAGAGCCTCGTGTACGGCCTCAAGGTGCGCAAGAACAGCAACACAGGGGAGGTGCGCCAGGCCCTGTACCAACTCGGCTACTCGAGGACTCGCACGAGCCAGTTGCTCGCAGAATGCAGCCAGTTCCCTCCGAGGAACGCTGACCAACGCGAGCGGCAGACCTTCGAGGACCAACCGGAGTGCATTCATGATGACTCAGATATAGAATTAACTAGCACGAATGATGCACCATCAATTATCTTGATTCTATCACAGATTGCTGGAGCAAGTAGGTTGATCACCGATGGCCCGATGCATCTCCTCGAAAACAACGACTTGAGAACAGAGTTTATGAGGTCTAAAAAGATAACAATATCTAATGTTTATAAAAAAGACATGATATAACGATCGGCCATTCAGGATTGAGACATCTCTTAGTGCAGAAAGATCAATGGATGCAATAAAGAAGGAAAAAATCGAACGAAGAGGTTACACACCTACAGTAGATCCACTGTTTATGTAAATATCAACATACATACATATATATATATTTATTTATTTATATGTGTATGCCTCTACGATCTAGCTATGCCTATCTGTATAAATCTAGACCCCTTAAATTGGACCCACCCTGATCTGATTCACATCGAAGGAGATGGTTGTCGGCACGGTGCTGGAGCTTCAGCGCCTGCGGCGAGTCAAGAAGCTGCTGTCAGCAGCCGCTCGCCAAGCCCTCGCTTTGCGGAGGGACCGCCAACGCCGGCAAGGAGGATTGCCCAGCACGTAAGGGCACTCCTGGGTCGGGTGAGGCAGCTGGACCAAGCTGACCAAGCCTGAGGCCGGGGAGTGTGGCTGGGGCCCGGAATGCGCACGAGCACTCACTTAATTTTTCGCAAAGGGCAACTTTCCATCTTCCATGTAACGATATTTCAAACCGTTAAAATTATAAGCATTGGTGTGCAACTTCAAGACTTGGCATTCGAAATTCCTATTTGGCAAGACTAGTTGTATATATTAAAAGCCCGGTCTTTACATCCTGGACACCCCGAAAACATTGACTGTACACCATGATATAGATCGAAGGATGTAGTGGCCATTCCACTTCGCTAAAGATTGCGACATCCCCAATTCCCATCCACTGGCCTCTTCACACGGCACATTCCCGCACGGTTTCCCCCGTCAGGAGAAGAAAAGGGCCGAGACTGAGCACTGAGGACGGCTTTGGGAACCGACGTGGGGTCTCTGGGTCTATCCGCATAGTATCTGTATGTGTGTGTATGTGTGTGTATGAGGTATGAGTGCATCTCCGTGTATGTGCACCCGTAGGATCATCGATATATTTGACATTCTGTGTCTTTTATTGCTCCGTCTGTTTACGTAAATTGAAATCTGATTATGTATGATATATATATATATAAAATAGAGAAAGAAACCAATAAGTTCTTCAAAGGTCTTAAAACATAGTATATATATATATGCATATGCATGTATGTATATCAACCGATCTGATACTACCAGCCCACAAATCAGAATTCCGCTACCTCAGCACCATCATGGCACGACGTAGACCTCAGAAATCACGAAAGAGCCCCCATCGCTATACAATCCCAGAGAAGATGTGTGATATTATACTATGCACCGATCCAAAGATGATGAAGATATAGAGAGAGAGAGAGAGAGAGCGGCGAGAGAATGAGAATGCGTCCTTACATGAATGCACGCATATAAACATCTTGTAATGATACCGGACGACGGAAATTTTCCAAAAGAAAGTCGAATGACCATATCGCCCTGCCAACGCGCCCCGCCGCAGGAAGACCGCAGTACAGAAGTCGCCGCGCAGGCCCCCCTCCCACCGGACGAGCACAAAGCCGTCCGGTGGGAGGGGGGTGACAGGCGCAAAAACACCAAGAGCAAGGCAGCGGCAGGAACAGAGAAAAAAGACGATGTTGGGCGAATGTGGGTGTCCCCCATGAAGAGAAAGTCGATGTTGTTCATCCCCTGCAACAAACTGTTCTGATAAGAGGGCGAATTTTTATCTCCCGAATGCAACCAGCTTGATGGCTGGATGCCGACGGTGATGGGGGGGATGGTGAATGTGTCTCCATGCGTCAATCAGACATGTCATCAGCCTTTTATTTATCTGCTAATCTAGAACAATGGTACCCCCATTTTTGCCTGAATTTCTCCACCCCTGGTAAAGCGATTGTATTTAACGTATGTTTAAATGAGGTGGATCCCGTATGTTCAAATGGCCGGGGCGGGCCAAGGAGAACATTTCCCGAGGTAGTATGAAATACCTGGAATAATCATCCCAAAACCACCGTCATATTTTTCAGCGGGGTAGGGCTCGACCACCCAGCTAGTAGATTCCCACTTGATGGCCGACTGAGAGCCCAGGAACTGGTTGGACCTCACCGTGGTTCTCTTCTCCTTCATGGAACTGCTGGCGGCTTCAATCCCGGGCAGTTCCACAGGGACTTGGACCGTTTTCGAATGCATATAACATATAGCTATATATAGCTTATATATATATACATACACTTTTTTTATTATATATATATGTAATCATGTATATATATATGCGGAGACATGCTCCAAAGAGATCCCAGTCCACATTGCCGGATCCTTTGTTTGGCCTGAATCCGGCAGTATGTCAGTGCTTCTGGCATCCTTAGGTAGCAAGATTTGCAAGACCTGTGGCCTGCATTGCAAAGACTGTCAAGGGCATCTGGGGTCCGAAGTCTCAGCCCGGGCTAGGGCTAGGGCCTGGCCCGAGGTTAAGTCACGGAGGGTACCCGGGTACCCCAATAGCTGGATGGTTTATGGTGGAAAATCAGGGGGGGGTTCCATAAATGGGGGTACCCCCAAATGATGGTTTATAATGGAAAATACCATTAAAATTGATGATTTAGGGGTACCCCTATTTTTGAAATCCCCCAAATCATTTCAACGTTTGATATGTTGGGGATGATCATAATCCATGAAGCTATGGCCATTTATAACCAGTTATAACTGGTTATAAATGGGATTATACATTCCATAAATTGGGTTACAAGTATTTGTAACTGATGCACGGCCACAACTATGGGTTTCTGATAATTAAACTCGGGTTTATATCTCATTCGTGAGTCTCAACCCCCCTTATGTTTCGAATTTTTGATCCGTTGTGAAGATAAAGTTGATATTATTACCCCCGTCAAAATTCGTTATAAAGCGTGGCGAATTTGGATCCCTCATGAAAATAAATTCGATGTCGGCGCCCCCCCCCTTAACAAAATGGTCATAGGAAGTAGCGAATTTTGATAACTCATGAGTATGAAGTTGCTGGAGGGCTCAATCAAGCCCAGATAAATTCCCATCGGGGTCTATTATTGGCATCAGATCCTTTTTTTTCTAGATAGAGTAGATATGAGAGGTCGTTTTGTTTTTTATCATCTGACCGTCCGTGGGGGGAGCGAAGCGCTCCGGGTGCGGAAGTTTCCAAGAAGGCACATCCCCACGGGCGGTAGATGCAGACATGCTAGATATAGACGCATTATGAATACACACGATAGATTTTTATATGGTAAGGGAGAAACGGTGAGGAGCGAAAGGGGTCTTCGCAAAGAGCATATAAGCACACTGCCGTTTCTCCCAAAAGATATACATGGGAAAAAAATCAGTCAAAAAGCAAAAAGACAAGCAAAAGCGTAGATAAGGCCCCAAAAATAGAACCACCCAAAATAGAAGATATCTAACTGGAATGAAACATTATGATTACATAATGTAATTATATAATGATTACCTTGCCTGGCGTCGCCGTTTATATTATTCTGCTTTTAGCTAGGCGCGCCTCCCTTGGTAATCATTCATTATTCCCATTTTTCAAAGGGGCAATGTGGAAGGAACAGTGCTTGGTGAGAAAAAAATCAGCCTGCTATCCTTTGACCTTTTTTTTTGCATGCGTGGAAAATGAAGAAAAGAAAAAGAAAGAACCGCGGAATCTCGAAGCCTTCAAAATTGGAATCTTTCGCCAACCACACCGTGCACCGCCCATAAAAACTACTCACGGAACCGTCAGGCTCTTGCAGCCCTGGTAACCACAGCTTCAGCAAACTGGAACCTTAAGGTCACAGCCTTAAAGCCGTATATATACATTAGACATCGTTGCAATCGCAAGGGCTGCCAGTCGTACATCAATCCTCATCACCTACATCCCATTTTCGTAGACGGAAGAGGTAGTAGCCACACACCTTTGCAGACCCAGTCCGCCTTGCTCTTCTTGCTGCTCAATCGAGTCTCGCACCCTGCCATCCATTGCATTCTTGCTCTCAACCACAAAGCCATCGAAGATATGGGGAAGCGGCTGAATCATCTTCGCAAGGGCTGGGTTGAAGAGAAGGAGCGATCAATTGTGTTTGGAAACGGCAGGGATGGACAGATGTGGAGGCAGATGAGGCCACTTTCACCAACACCGACCTGAAGGACTTGGCCGACAATCCCGGGCAACCCATGATCTGGGAACAATGGTGCGGCATTGTGCAGCGGGGTTCTCCACACACGCTTCTTTTGAAAAGATTGACTCCCCAAACGTCTGCTCAGAGAGCGCCTGGTCCAGGTGCAATCCGGAAGGTGGAGTGGCGTCCGCTATATATAGCCACCAAGCACCTCCAAGATCGTGCCATCGTCCTGCACACTGACTCCGCCAAGTCTTCCAAGGTCAAGGTGAGTGGTGTCCTTCATGATCAGGTATGTCATTGCAAGAAGCGTGTGAAGGTCAAAGGCAAGTGGGTGTGGAGAAAGCCTACGTATGTGAAAATTTTCCACCCATAAGGACCCAAAGACTGGTCGCAAATTCAAAACCAAAGGCGGTACCCAGATTATTGACCGTACCTGGCACTTCCTCAAAGAACGGACGCAATTGAACCAGCATTGCCAGGTAGGGAGTCCTCTTTTGCGGTTGAAAATCCGCAGTGCAGAGTATGAGTACTGGCACAGGAACTGCGATCTGTGGGCTGCATCTGGCATTTTGTGTGCTTGGCACTTTGCCAAGTGAATTGTCTGACTGCTGCGGGGAACAAAAGCAGTGAAAAAAACGCGTCTTGAACAGTCTTGGTCTCATAACATCTCATAACCTCCTTTCCTTGCAAAACCATCAGATTGCGTCTGTCTCCTCTGCTCTGGCGCAGAACAAAATCACACGGAGTGATAATAGTAAGCAGGCAAAGGTAGGTTTTGGGGGCGCTAGCATATATATATATATATATCATATAATATATATATACATATCTATCATATATATATATATATCATATATATATATATTTATATCATATATGATATGTATATATATATATACATATCTATCATATATATATATCATATACATATACATATCTCATATATATATATATTTATATATCATGCATACATATATATATAAATCATATATATATATATACACAGATCATATATATATATAATATACATATATATGTAAATCATATACATTTAGAAACACATATATTTCATTTACATATATATTTATCTATATATATATATGTCATATATATATATGATATATATATATCATACACATATATCATATATATTTCATATATATATTTCATATATATATTTCATATGTATATATATCATATATATATATATCATATATATCATATTTATATATATTTAAATGGGACTAGAGATTCCCATGATTATACCCATCAAAAATCACCCCAAGAGCAGCACCCCGAAGTAGTCAGGCGCGATAAGAATGACTGATCCCCTGAGGTTGTGTTGATGGCACCTGCTATGCCCGCCTGAAGCCTGGAGGAGATTTGAAGCGCCTGGAGGTCGCGTTGGTCTGGTACCATGGGCATGTCCCATCCTTTCAGGAAAAACGATGATAATCAAGCACGGGGATATAATGAATGATTATGGCCCCAATGACTAGGACTATTTTGCAATGCGTGGCTCAGCTGAGCCGACCAGATCAATGGGATTGGGATTCACGGTTGTTGGAAACGCCAGGTTTTTCTGGTGAGCTCGCAATTTTAAGGGGTTAGGTTTAAGATATCCCCATACATATCCCAATAGAGATCCCAATGTACAAACTGTGTATAAGATAAACTGATCACCATTAATGTTGCACTACATATATGTTTACAGTATATACATATGCAAACAGTTTATACATATGCACTTATATGCATATATACATTATATTTGTATATATATGTATATATACATACATACATGTACCAGTGCAGGTTCCCATTCTTTCCCGATTGTATCCCCATATAAATACATATACACCCTGTGCGTTTAATATAAAACAATTTCAAAGCAGGGTCCCAAATATGATTTCACAACTACATCCAGCCTTTGTTGGGTATGTATATATATATATACACATGTACACACGTGTACATGTATACATGTATATACATGTATATGTATATACATACACATACAAACATATATATATATATACACATATATAGATATAGATATAATTTGTTGTTCTCCAACACTCAATTGTCATTTTCGTTGGGCCTCGGTATGACTTTCTCGTCCTTGAAACGCAGGCCATGGGCAAAGTCCTGGGTTTGGCGCTACGAGACCAACAGCCACTGGGAGTTGAGCCTTGGAACATGTCCTGAAACAATTTCCTTAAAAAATGGCAGGAGGATCCGAAAGTTTTTGCTTGCAAGTTTCAAATGTCCCAACAAACTGGGCTTAACTAGGATTCAAATTCACCAAACATATCCAAAAATGGTTCGACATCTCTCATTGTGGCTTTCAGGTTTGACCAACAGATCGAGGGTAAACCGCCATCAGTTGGAGATATGTTCATGTAAATATATAGTATTATATATTTATATTATATATATTCTCCAATATGATTGGATTGGTTTGTGGAGTCTTTTTTTTGCCATATCTATTGATCATGACCACCAATGATGGATTGGTTGGCATGGTGGCCCAGCAGCTGAACCAGTTAGTTTGTGGATGATACCACCTGGATTGATAAACATTGTTATCTAACCATAGCTGACATTAAATGAATATATACAACCCGTTGCAATCAATTCATAGCTTAATCATGGTTAATCTGACTATAACATACTATAACTGACTATAACTGACTACAACTGACTACAACTGACTATCAGTCATGGTTTAATCATGGTTATATAAGCCGTTCTTAACCGCTTCATATTGGAGGCCCGCCCACGGGGAAAAGGGGGGCATCTCATGGCTGCCAGGAAATCTGTCCACCTTTGGCACACCTTTTGACCCATCCCACACTTCCGCGAGCCTTGCAGCACATCCGGGAGAGCAGCTTGGCTGCCAGGGCCAGGTTTTTCAAGTTTGTGAAGCAACAAACAGATGTGATTTGGCAATGAGGTTTATATGTGGTTTTAAACCAACTAAAAGGATTTTGGCCAACTCATTGAGCTTACTTCTTTTGACCAGATGGTGACCGCTAGAGTCCAGCCTGTAGCGTGAATCATGGATGATGAACGGATAGCTATGTGAGTAGACATTGATAGACGGATGAATAAAGCCGGAACGACGTCCGAAGGAGGGGCTGCACTAGCATAGAGATAAGCTGCAGGAATTAAGGGCCACGTCCAAGTGGAATGATTCAGCGTGGGTTTTCCACAAAAAAATGGCAAAATTGGCCCTTAGAGCTGAACTTGTCATTCTCTTGGATCGGTGTTTGGCACCAGTTCGAATCTTGTAGATTGCCATGTTCTAGTTATTTCTTGGGCTTAAAGAGTGTCTTAAAATAGAGTTTTTCAACGTCCACCCAGAATTTGGAACGCTTAACTCCCCACAAATGGGTCACAAGCATGGTTATTAGACAGTCACCAACTGGGATGCATATGCCCCTAATGGACGGTACCCTATTGGGATTAGCTGCACTACTCTCATCCTCCAGCTCTGTGGTGCCGCAACTGCCAACCAGCACATGTTACAATGTTGTTTCATCTTTGATCGCAATATGATCACGGTTCCAGCTTGAGATAGTATTCCATCGCTTATCATTATTTTTCAAGACAGAACACATCATTAAACAATACACCATAAAAATCCATAAAACGTAAAACGTATAACAAGTACTATGTTACCTTCCACTAATCAAACGTGGCAATTGGAACTTCCCCTCAAAAAATGGGGGGTTTCTAGATGGGAAAATCATCGATAAATCCAGGATTTTCCATTGTCCTGTTTGATTGCCAGAGGGTAAATTCCCCTTAAATCCCACTTAAATCCAGTAAATCCAATTAAAATCCAGTAAATCCTCATGAATTTCCCCATGAAACCATCATCATTTGTCTATAATTCCCCAGCAAATCAACGGTGGATGAACCGTTGCCTCCGAGGTCTTCCCGTCCCCCTGGGCCAACCATCAGTTCCTCCCATGGACGCCGAGCCCAGCGACGGCCTTCCGACGTCTCCATCCGTGTCAGGCAACGGCTCCTGGTAGGGGGGAAATTGAAGCAACAAAAACAGGGATGTTTTACCATTAAAATATGCTGTTCAACCATGTTTAACCCAGCGAAACACGTTTTACCATGTTTTACCATCAAACTCCACGTTTGCCCGCATCTGATCCCGCATGTCCTTCGACATGCTCAAGTCCCTGCGTGGGGCTAGCAATTCTTACTTTCCAAAACCTAAAACCCCAAAACCCTAAAAGCCTAAAAACCTAAACCCTAAATCCTAAAAACCTAAAGTCACAATCGCTGCGTATAGCCAGTGTTTTCATTCATCCTCTTGTGACGAGTATATGATATTGTTTGTGTGTGTTCTTGGGGTGTGGGCGAACGTGGGGTTTAACTGGGGGTTGAAGTTTGGAGGGAACATGTTTAACCATAAACATATCATATGATGTTTATTTTAACCCAGCCAAACATGGCGTTTAAAACCGTTTAACCAAAAAAAATATGATGTTACCCAGCAATACATTGGGAATTTACCGCCAAAATCCGAGGGTTTGCTCAACATGTTTGTTGGATGGGTTGAAGTAACAACCAGCCTAAAGTTTGCACATTTTACATACCCACATGACATCGCACAATGTTGATATTGAGTCAGGTTGCAGGTTGTACCGGTTGAATTCCGGTTGCAGCTACGGGAGTGCAAAAAAAGTCTTACCAGATCCCAAGGCCACCAGACGACAGATGTTTTACGGCTCCACAGGTGGTGAGGAATTGCGGCGTTTGGGCTTCTGTGCTGAATGGCTGCGCTATGTCAGCCAGGAGATGGGAAGCCACCGGGATGCAGCAAATTCTGTCCCTGGTCGCAATTGAGAGAAGCTTGTGAAAGATGTGCGAAATCCATTGATGATGCATAGACCACCCTATCTTACTCTACTAATTCTTCTTCTATGCTAACAGCAGAACTTGGCCTACAAAATATGCCACGAGGTGATTCTTTCAATCATCTTTTCCATGTCCAATAGATAGTGGCGAGGGTTTGTTGGTATTTTTTGGTTGCGTTTGATGCTGAACAGTTCGCCTAAGCTTGGCAGCCCTGTCTTTCAATGCCCTGAAAGCAGTCAACAGCAAGGGCCGAAACACAGGAAAGCTTCGCAACATTTCCAACCCGATTTGACGCTGCGCAAATGTCACTCCAAAGCATCCATTCAATACAAAAGCAAATGTGTGCGTATTTTATACATATATATATAATATTTACACTGTACAAGCAACAACACACATACTGTAAATATATATGTATGTATGTATATGTATATACATATATGCATATCACATACATAGATAGTTCGAAATTATATGGATCGTTACCGCAGGAGGAATACGACTTCTGGCGTCGTGCAGCCCACGGTGCAGCGCCGCTGGATGCGGTGGATTACCAAGGACCACGTAGCGCTGAAGGTGGGGCTATGCCAACCTGTCACCAGCGTCAACTTTGAGGCAGAAACTTACATTTAGATACATTTAGAATCATTTATTGTAGATATTTCCAGTAGCAGCAGTAGGTGACACGGGGGTTCTTTGGAAATCGCCGATACCCCTTTTACTGGCCAAAGCTTACTGAGGAACATGATATATCACTGGATTAAACATGATTAACCACTGGATTCGGGGCGCAGTTGCCAGGCCTAAGGGAACACATGGAACGGAAGGCCTTGAGCTCGCTGGTGCTGGACGTGTCACCTGGTGGATTGTTACCTTGTTGAACATGGGAATGGCTTTGAGCCGCGAAAATCCAGGGATGACAGGTTTGCAGGTTTCATAGGTACAGGGTTTAGACATGCGTCTGGCTCAAAAGAAATTTGCACCCCTAATTAGATGATTTGGTATGCAAAATGACTATTTCTCAAGGGCCACCGGAACCATTGGGAACCCCATCTTTCAACAGCAGCCAAGACGGCAAAGAAATGTCCACGAGCTCAGAGCCCTATATAATCAACAACACGATTCAAATCACTGTCATGTATATGCCATTGATCAATCGTCACGATCAGTTCTCATGATCACTGTCATGATCATTATCGCTACCAGTACGAATGTCATCTTGACAATGATGAGACCAATGAGAATGCACGTCATAAAGAACATTGAAAAAGAATCATACAGATTAGTTGACATTATTGTCGTCGTCGTCGTCGTCGTCGTCGTTGTCATCATCATCATCATCATCACCATCATCATCATCATCATCTCTATCTCTATGTTTTTCAATGATTGGCACCTGCATGTAAATGGCAATCATCATTAGCATCCATTTTCAACAATGATGGACACATTACTGCACAATTATGATTATGATCATCAACGTAATCATCTAATTGAAAACAGACGTGATATTTTTCCTAAGACTCTATCATGATTAATACTGATGGACATATATCATGATTGATACCTCAAAAGTGTTCATCCATCGAGGTCTACTGAGTTAGAACATCTTTGGCGTGGCCTTCGCTCAGTGCCCAACGTGTCTTTGCCGTCCTTGGAGCGTGAAGTGAAACGAGGTGGGAAACTTTGGAGCTGGGGTTGCCACGACTGTGGCGAACATTACAGAAAAGCTGGAGGTTTTACCAACAAAATCAACAAAACTGTGGAGAATAGATCCACCAATATTTATATAATTATACATCTATATAGCTAGCATCCTGAAATTCAACATTGTAACATGAAACCAAACCACCAAAATGGCACTGGCGCGCGATGACTTTTCTGGTGGAAATGGCCAATGGTTTGGGCGACCGTTGTGAAATACCAATGGGTAGTTCTGTACCCCTTTCATAGAAGCAAAACATGGGCATGTGCCCAGCAATAGTTGTCAAAATCGAACCTACTTAGAAGGAGAGTGATATGTAAACCATATATACCATGCAGCAGACCACGTAGAATTGAGAACATATGCATATCTCATATCTCTATAAATCAATATCGTGTATATTTCTGATATCTGTTTGATACCAGTGCAGTATCCGTGCAGCTACAACTGGCGCCAGTTGGATAGGATGAGGATTGCACCTATATTTGGTTGAGACGGTTGTAGCTCTCAGAATCAGGTCTTTCAATTTCGAATAATTTCGACATTTAATTCAGATTACCCAGAAGTGAACGGAAAAATGGAAAAGGCACATAAAATTCATGGGAGTGGTATGTAGTACTCAAATTGGGTACTTCAAGTATGTCGAGCTTGGTTGGGTTTGGGTCAAAAATAAAACATACTGCCTAAATTGGAATATATATATATATTATATAAATATATATTATGTATAATAACTAATATGGGGTTCTTTATAGATATGGGAAACCAACCTCTTTTGTCTCCGCAGGGCTGGAAGATGCAGAGGAGGAGAGACCCAGCAAACGGCGACGTTTGGAAAGGAGCTGCGTTCACCTCTGACCCAGCTGCTTTAAGTGGCTTCCAACCTCATCCACTCATAGTCAGCCCTAAGCATATATGTACCTCTATACACGCGTATATATATATATATGTAATGTAATGTAATGTAATGTAATGTAATGTAATGTAATGTAATGTAATGTAATATTATGTAATATTATGTAATGTTATGTAATGTTATGTAATGTTATGTAATGTTATGTAATGTTATGTATTGTTATGTAATGTTATGTAATGTTATGTAATGTTATGTAATGTTATGTAATGTTATGTAATGTTATGTAATGTAATGTTATGTAATGTAATGTAATGTTATGTAATGTTATGTAATGGTATGTATGTATGTAATGTATGTATGTATGTATGTATGTATGTAATGTAATGTAATGTAATGTAATGTAATGTAATGTAATGTAATGTAATGTATGTATGTATGTATTTATGTATGTATGTATGTATGTATGTATGTATGTATGTATGTATGTATGTATGTATGTATACATATACGTACATACATGTACATATTATATATTATATATACAATAATATAATGATATATGTATGGTAGCAGCTCAGAGCAAGGCCCATGTGTTTGAAGGAGGCATTGGTTTGCTCGCTGCCAAGCTGGTAAGTTCAGCTACAGGGTGAGCCCCTGGATAGCTAAGCTGACGAACATAACTTGGTCAACCAGGGTTGATGAGGGGGATGTAACTTGTTTTACCTATGGGAAATCACCATTTTTAATAGGTAAATCCACTATTTCTATGGCCATTTTCAATAGCAAACTGTTAGTTTATAAACCAACTTATAGGGGACCTCACCATGTCCGCGGTCCCACCACTTGGTAGAAAGAGAGGTAAACTTCATTTTGCACAACCAACGCGTAACATGGCAATTGATGGCAATTTAGTGGATATCTTTTCACACTCAGAATTGATTGAAGGATTTTGCAACGGGAAACCCTGTTTTTTTTTCTCGCGGTCAAAAACATGTCGAAACTAATTATTTACTGTACCCGCTGATAATCTGACATGGCCTTGGAAAATGCCTAATTTTGATAGGTATACGGTATACTGTATCATCTACACATGGGTAATTGTTCGGTATGTTAACTTACCGGTAACATTACCAGAACATCCATCCGTTGGATTTTTATTCCATCCATGAAGTATGTGGAGACATCCACTTAAAATAGCCATGCTATATATCAATGATTCGGAAAATACCAGCAATGGATGTGGGAAAATGTCATTAAAAGGGCAAATATGATATAGGAAAAATCCATCGATACCATACGGTAGATATTTCCAACTATAAATGAGGTTCTTCACAATCAATAATACGCTGTGGCAATCAATTATGTTTTGTTTTGCTGGAAAATTCTGATTTGTAGAGTATTTTCCCAGATAGAAACCTTTTTACTTGGGATTTCCCATTGCCATGTTTGATTACCGGAGGGTATTTCCACATTCGTTTCCACTATATCAATCAATACTGATTGGTTTCTATGACTCCATTATTTCATTCATTAAATATCCCCTAATATTGGAAGCATTCGTTAATCAATGCATACTAATGTTAGTAAAGCAATAGTAAATCACCCCGGAATTTACAATGTTTATGGATGGTTTCTCAACCATCAAATTATATGGGTGGTTTATGACATTGCTTTGCTAACATTAGTACGAGATGATACCACCCATAGTTTTCTCACTAATAGCAGTAAACATACTGGGGCTGATATTATGTTTTTTTTTCAAAGGTAATTCCTCTAGAAAATTAACCACTATAAACCATTGTTTTTTCCCGCTAATACTATTATATACTATTACAGTATTATAAACCATAGATTATAGTATTGTCCCCACTACTATGATTATAATATTATAAACATTTATAAACCATAGATATTGATTTCAAATAGTATATGATAGTATTTTCCCCACTATTATAGTATGATTTTTCCATATATTATTTGCCACGATGCAGTTTCGCTCCAGGAGCGTTTTGCAGGGCCTCATCTCCGGTGGTCCCGACGTCCCCGTGACGTTGTGGCAGGGGGTCACCAGGTACGCCGCAACGGGGGTGGATTCAGTGGATTCTTCGGATTGCCGGTTGATGACTATATTGTTGTAATACTGTGTGGATATATACATATATGTCATATCATGGAATATCCACAGTTATGTATATATATATATATAGATATAATACATATATATATAGATATACATATATATATATATATACATATCTGGGTAAATTATAACGACCTCACTGCGACCGAGCCCTGGAATCATGGTGAATAAGGGGAATCATCCCCAAATGGCCGAACTATTCAGGTTAGTGAAATATTATAATTTACCCAGATATATGTCATATAGGTGGATTGTGGAGGTAAATTTACAGATTTGATTTTTGTTCATTTCCATATCTTCGAGAGGGCATCTCCAAGCACACGACTTGATCGCCAAGCCATGTCCAATGGTGCTCTCAAAACATGCTTTGGTTAGAAGAGTCCGAGTTTGTTCAAGACATACATATGGCTGGTAATTTAACATAGCTACATGGCAGACAACTTAAGTGTAGGCAAAGTATATCAACTTATCTATTGGGTCATTTTCCACGGCTATGTTAAATCACCAAAGGGTAGCTGCCATAGCACACCAAGAATTGCAATTCGAGTGACTTCAGCACCGGCGGAACGCTGGTATGTGAACATGAGGATGTCGTGACAACCATGGTCAATCCCTCTCATCAATTAAATACCCCATAACCATCTAAGATGGGTGTTCACCTAATATTGGATTAGTATACCAAACACACATAACCCATATATATATATATATATATGGATGGTCACACACACACACCCATGATCAACCTTGGTCATTCCAGACTTTGTACTCAACATTTTTTTGGGGGGGTCTTGATAAACAAAAGCAACTTTTGTGGAGGGCCCCATGGAGAAAACAGCCCAGGTACAGCCCGGTAGAGGCAACCCAGGCCTTGGACGGACAACGCACCGTCATGTGGTGCCTTTGTCGAGTGCGAGTCATGGGGTGCTGGAGGATGATCCATGGGTTGGATCCAGAGATGGGGCAGTCTCGAATAATTTTGTTGAACAATGGAAAAGACACCCACTTATAGATGTGTCTAGTTGATTTTCCTGTTAAGACCTCCACTTCGAGTGGATTTCCCAGCTAGCCATGTTTGATTACCGGACGGTAATTAAGATGTGTTAAGGCTGTTCATGTTGTAGTTTTCCTTTTATAACTTAGATATTCTGATGTTGTTGATAGTTTAGTATCTGTGAATAATTTAGCGATGCCCAACATTTGCCAACCATAGCTATCCTAAACTGTTGAGACTAAAGGTTTGAATTCATCAAATAACATTTGAGTTGAACATGGACATAGAAGTGACATGATATGCGTGGCTCAACCCTCCAACCATGGGTAGCGAATATGGTCCTTCACAGATCCTTTTAGGAAACCAGCGCTTGGGAGAGGCGGAACGAGGTGGTTGCTACAGTGGAGTTGTACATTTAAAAAATCTATACTATGAATCAAGTAATATATGTATAATTACAGTATATGCGATGCCCCAACAATGTGGCCAAATATTTCTCAGCATATATTGATGATTTAACATGATATTATCATGTATTATAGTATATATGATATAATTTAATAAAATATAGTATAATATAGTATAATATCATATCACATCATATAATATAATATGATATAATATAATATAATATAATATAATTATATATATAATATAATATAATATAATATATAATATAATATAATATATAATATAATATAATATAATATAATATAATATAATAATATATATATATAATTGTAATTAATATATATAATATAATATAATATAATATAATGTAATGTAATGTAATATAATATAATTTTTAATACAATATATGTAATACAATATATGTAATATTATATATAAATGGTCTAGTTATACATGATCCCATAAAATAAGATTCTATATCCTCCAGTTTTAAACCAAGGTTCTGGGACTATGTGTCGTCGCTTTCAGTGGAGCAACGTTCGCAGCTGCTGCAGTGGATCACGGGCTATCGACGCATCCCCCCAGGCAGATTTGAAATGGATTTCATGGGGATTTGATGGAGAGTTCGCCTCTGGTATTTTTTTTATTTGCTGTTCATTGAAAATGGCCTTTTATAGATGATTTGCCAATTAAACATGGTGACTGTCATAGCGAACTATTACCAGAGGATGGATATGGATGGATTATTCAAAAGGTGAACCAAATTATTTTTGTGTTTTTTCAAAAAAATATCAGGCCTTTAGGAGTTTCAATTGCATTTTCTCAGGCTACATGTTGACACAGTGGAGGCACAGTGAAGGAAGCAATGATCAAACGCCCTTTCAGGTCAGTGCTGAAAGAGAGCAGCGCTGCTGTTGATGAAGTGCTTCTGCAACATCATGTTTAAGTATGTTCAAAATTTCCTTGAAACGACTTACTGTTGATCGGTATTGACAAGCTGGGCATGATGGAACCGACAGCTGGCCTTTTTGGTACATGGATCAGTGTGCATACAATAAGAATCTAATAACATGATATACTCGCATATCATATAAAAATCGAATGTACATTTACTGTAATCATAACATTATTTATAGGAAGAACATGCCGTACTTTTCGATCATGCGCCAATCAAACATCGCAATGGAAGTGACCCAATTTATAGATGATGTACCTTTTTCAATGCATATTTCGTTCATTTCCCCATGTTTGATCCGCAGGCGGTTTCCCTGCACCTGTGCCTTACATGACGTTGTACCTGGCGAATGTGGGCCCCGATCGCTTGCCAACGGCACACACCTGTGGTCTGCAATTAGACCTGCGACTTGGCTTAAAATTTGAGGATTTTTGACGGTGGACTTTGTTTTCAATGGCCATTTATAATGGTTAACACTGGGAATATAGTTAATGGGGATATATAATGGATTATAATGGAATATTTGGGATTTACGTATAAATATATATATATATATACATACATACACACATCTACATAACCAAGGATTTTTATGGGAATATTCTGGTGATATGGTGGGACACATCAGCATACCCTATCATATTGCCAGTTTACGAGGGCCCCGGTTTGGTCCAAAAAATCCATGAGATCGATCCGATGCGGGAACAGCAGCACAGCAGGGGATGATGGTGAAACCACCTACTGCATCCAATTTTGGGATTTTCGAAGGGGACTTGGACCAACATCATTCCAACATCAATGGGGAGTCAACACGATTTACATCGATTTACTGTAGTCAACAAGTTGTCAGCAAGATTGAAAATAAAAGCCGGCATAAAAGTCAACAGGGATGTTTTAGAAGAAAGATGAATTGTGGTTTCCTTGGTAGCCCATGCATAGCCAATCGTTGAGCCATTTTAGACATCAATATATCAAATCATCCACATATGGAATTTTGAGTTATTCGCTGAGTATATTTAATTTGTTTGTATTTGCGTGTGATGCATATTTCGAGACTCAGTTCATTTTCGTTCACTTGAGTGTTTTATCAGGCTGTTGAGGAGCAGCCCTGAGTAAAACACTCGAGGGAAGAGCAGATATGTATAATATAATTTGTATATTGCGTACAAAATATCTATAGTAACTGATTTGTATATTATACTTATATCATATATGATCATTGTAAAATATCTATATGATATACAAATATAACACATACATGATCACTCGCTGAAAGATATTTCGGTCTGAGGCCTCGAAGCTATGCTGATGCTGCTCAGCTAGGCCAGCGACTGGGACAAGCCAGCGCTGAGAGGCAGTTTTACCTGGTTTGATTAGCGCTGCGGCAGACGCCTGCGATAAAACAGCAGGATGTGGGGTGGTTATGGCCTTGCGGGTCTTGTGGGCCGCTACTTTGCCTTGCAAAGTGTCGAAGTTCAGATGGTTCAGATGGTTCAATTGGTTCAGAAGTCAGGAATGTTGCTGTTTTTATTTAGAGTACCAGAGATTACCGTGAAAAAAGTAGGGTTCCTGAATTCAATGATAACAGCAATGATAACATGGATAAGTCAAGGCAGGCCTTGAATGGTACTGTAATGATAGATGGTTAAGATTCGACCGTATATTCGAATCCTGGTTGTTGGTGGTTAATAGCTCCTATCCATTGTTACAGCGTTCGGGTTGGATCCTCGTGAAACAATTCGATATATCTATAATTATATTTTTATATATTGTATAGTTATGTATATACTGTATATATATAAAATAAATATATATATATCTACTATAAACCCTACTGAAAGGTTAGCAACAAACCAACTTAGACCAATGATGGTTTTCATAAGCCCAACAAACCAAGTTGTGCTTATCGGTCCTTAGTAGGTCCTATCCTCGTCTTCTCGTTGCGGCTCCAACGGAGAATGCCAAGACCCGCGGCTCCACAGCTCTGAACGGCGGTTTGTGACGTTGGCGTTGCGGTGACCGTTGCCCAAGCTGACTGGTGGTCGGAGATGCTGGTGACATGTGGAACTCAAAAGGATGGTTACAGTAAGATATGGTGACAGATATGGTGACAGATATGGTGACAGATATGGTGACAGATATGGTGACAGAAACGGACATTATCTACATTTGGGTTTCTCTTTTTTTGTTTTTTGTAACTATATCCCGACATAGCGGAACGTGGTATATGATATTTGATTGGAAGGATGGTGAGAAAGTGTTGGATTTGGGGGAACCCTCATTTCAGACAAAACCCATTTGTTGGTTTCCGTTTTAATCCGCTACCAAAAGCATCCAGGATGGGAGTGGAATTCCAGAAACCCAATATCGAGCCCCTTTGGGCCTTGCTCGGACAAGCACCTTGTTATGTAAAATTGATTGCAAGATTCAAGAGAGTGTCACCTCCCCAAGTCCAAGTGCTTAGCATATATATATATACATACATCGATCCACAATATTCCATCGCGAGAAAAACCTTGGAAATCCGGAAATCCATTGTTTCATACCAGAGTTCATGAGACTGCTGATTAAAGTATGAAATGACAACCCAAGAAAGAGAGATTCCATTCACTCTGCAACAGTAAAACGTAAACACATGGACGTGTAAGAATTACTGGAACCCTGGTACCACTGACATCCCCTGACTTCTGTGCATCATCATCATCATCATCATCATCATCATCATCATCCTCATCCTCATCCTCATCCTCATCCTCATCCTCATCCTCATCCTCATCCTCATCCACTCTGGGTCCCCATTGAATACATTTAAAGTTGCATATCTTAGGATATCATTTACCAGACACCTTGCCAGAATCTGCCTATCATCATCTGAAGTCTGGAAGCAGACGACCTTTCGCTTGGATCAACTGTTCCGCCACACAACTGCACCGCTGGCTGTGGTGACAAAATCGAAGCTGCTGCTGGTTCGTTGTCCGAAGACATGTTATAGGATATGGCCCAAACCCAACACGAGATCCTCAAACGGTGGATGATTTTTGGGTCCAACAGTTTTGGCAGCCATCCACCTCATTTGATGAGCCCTTGGCAAAGTAACCCCAGCTCCAGAGGGTGCAAGTTGCACAAACTCGAAGTGCAACCAAGTTCGGTCCAGTAAACAAAAACAGTTTGCTATGGGATCCAGGGCCATTAATAAAGTTTGATGATATACCATGATATACTTATTAATAAAGGTGATTTTCCATAGTTATGTTGATGTACCGGAGGTTTCCATCCTGAAATGCTTGGAATTTTGGCTAGACGCGCAGCCGGGTTTCAGGAGCCTCACAGTTTCGGGAACGGCCGGGAACCGATGGAGGGCAACCGTGCCAGTTCAGCTTATGCGGCGGAGTTCACATCCAAAAGGCGGGGCCGTTCCAAGCCAATCACCGCGTTTAACATGTTGAAACTTCTACACCGCACTTCTACATGGTTTTGAATGGTGTTGTGAGATTTCATGGTATTACGGTATTACAATTCCATGGAGCCAAGCTTTCAGGACCCATATTTTTGAGCCAAGAAATCAACCATCACCCAGCGCCGCACTGAGGCACTTCTGCCGCAAGGCCCAATGTGATGGCACCTGTTTCAGGTTGGATGCATTAGCTCCACCGTGGCCCCCTGCCGATGCGCCCGATGAGACGGACGGCTTGCCGGAGCCCCCCTTGAAGCGTCGGAAGATGCCAAGTGTCACCGAGACGGACACCGAGAGCACGGACAGCAGTGAAGCAAAGGGACCGACACCAAAGGGAGCTGTCGCGGCTGTCACCAACAGCAAGGTGACTGACCAAAGCCACCAAGAGAGGCCTCCAGCCCCAGCCCCAGCCGCCCCAGCCCAGCCCACCGTCATGAGTTCTATGGGACATTTGGTGCTTGATGTGACGCGAATGGCGGCCTTCAGCACTGCAGGCACGGCCTGGAACGGGAGATGCTACGGGAAAGGAGTCAGACTCTAATAATATGTAGTCTCGATATATATATATATAATACTTGTATATATAATATATATATATAATGTATATATATATATATATTTATCAGCTTCATTTACCTGTCCCATGTCAATATTAATGTGTTGGTGTGGGAATTCCTCTTTTTGGTGATTAATTAGAGCGTTTCAGCCTCCCACGTTGACATTAAGTTGGATAAGAAGAAAACTGACTGCTGAAAATGACCCACCCACCCACCGTTACCACTAATATTGTTGAGAACCATTTCTTGTTTGTTGATTTCCACAGCGTTGCTCGCTAGAGGCCACATTTTGTTGATTGGATGGGTTTTCTTCGCTAAATCACAACAACTTTGTCTCAGGTAAGTCCCAAATTGATCCTATAATTATGTTACCCTCCGGCAATCCATGGCTTGCTGGAAAGTCCCTGTTGCCAGATGGGAAGCCAGCCAGATTTTTGATCATTTGCTGGGGATTTCACCAGCCATGATTTCCGGAGGGTAACCAATTATTCCATTATAAACCCAGGATTATCCATGGATTATCCACATGAAAAACCATGGTCCTACCACTAAAAACTCCCAGGTGTCCAGCCTTTTTATGATCCTGATTGACCAATGGTTTAATCATTAGTTCCCAGGTTAACCCATTATTAAGCATATTAATTATTATATATATTTATTTATATTGTATATACACCATTCTGACATTATTCTGACCATGGTTGGGGTCATTTTTTGCTGTGCAGGCTATGTGCTAAGTGGTCCACTAGGCGCCACTGTAGCCTTCTCTGTGGCATCTGCGAAGTCGTTGCGCAACCCCTGAGGGCCGGGCCTGGCCGGGTGGAGTAGGCTGGCTCCACTTCAATGATGGTGCTTGATAGTGATCACTGGTGATCAACAGTGATTAGTAGGGGATTCATATTGAATACTTCTCGGGATATTTGCTAGATATACATTATGTATATATATAATTATATATATAACATCATATACCAAATCAATCGCTTGACTATGAATAAGATGGATGAATATTTATCGACGGTCATCCATAGAATTGCTTAAGCATGGCTCGCCCAGTGGTGAGGCGGCTACAGTAAACAAGAATTGGTTTGCACTCCGGCCAGATACATATAATTACAGTATATATAGTCATATTTGCATTATGTGCACTACACTATGCACTGTATACAGACATGACACATATATCTATACATGTGTATCTATCTTTATGTGTATATATATACATATTGATCTGTAGATATACATATAGATATACATATATACACATATAGATATGTATATATATATATATATATGCATACATATATATATATGTATACATATCGATATGTATGTATACTGTATACATATATATATGTATACATATATATATGTATGTATATGTATATATATATATATGTATATATACATACATGTGTATACATTTAATGTATATATTGTATACAATGTATACATTTAATGTATATACTGTATATAATGTATACAATATATGTATATATGTATACATGTATATATGTATATATGTATATATGTATATATGTATATATGTATATATGTACATATGTACATATGTACATATGTACATATGTACATATGTATATATGTATATATGTATATATGTATATATGTATATATGTATATATGTATATATGTATATATGTATATATGTTAATATGTATATATGTATGTATGTATAATATATATATATGTGTACTGTATATGTATAATATATGTATATATGTATATATGTATATATGTATATATGTATATATGTACAATATATATATATGTATATATGTGTTTATATATATATGTATATGTATATATGTATATATATGTATTTGTATATATGTATATGTATATATGTATATGTATGTATATATATATATATTTGTATATATTTATTTGTATATATGTATATGTATGTATATATATATATATATTTATGTATATGTATATGTATATGTATATGTATATGTATATATGTATATGTATATATATATATATATGTATAGTATGTATAGTATGTCATTGTATGGATGTGGATGGAAAAAGGTAAGAGATGATGCATGCCCCGACTTGCTCAGTAGTAGTCTGAATCACAACCCATCAACATGTGACCATGTTTTGACCAGGTATGCAGCTAGGACGAGCAAAGAAGTCCAGGAATCTCACTTTCAGCATATCAATCACTGGATCTCTGGATTGGCTTAAAGGGAAAATGTACAGGAAGCCATGATATTTGCTGGTACTTACAGGGGCTTTCTGTAAATGTTCCCATCATCCAATACTGGGAATACAGTTTTTGAATTTGGAGTGGAGCACTATAATTCTGTGCAATCACAGGAGGATGGGTGCGAGAACACTTCTTCTGGTACATCTTGATCCAAAGAAGGGCATATAACATGCCAGGCGAAGAGTGTTTCTGAAACATATTGTGATTAAGTCTCAAAGTCAGTGGATAATATTGGGGTTGCAGTTCCATTGATAAGTGGATAATATTGGATATATAACAATAGTTGTAGTGGTTGTATCCCAATTCATGGGGGTTATAAATTAACAACCCCAACTGCACTCCCAAGTATCCCATCAGGTACCAAGGTCGCTGAAATAATTGGGGCATTTAGCCTGGGGCATTCAGCCTGCGGCATTCAGTTGACGTTTGTTGCATTTGGATTGGAAGATGGGTGTGGAATCGACTGACAATCCTAAGAACTTGGGTTAATGGATGACTTGGGTTAATGGATGACTAGAGATACCAACCAGTATAAATATAAATAGGCTTGTTGATTCCGAGCAAAATGTAATTCGCCTTGTTCTGAAAACTGTGGGTTCCGAGTTTGCCATTTCGACTAAACCTGGTTGCACATCTTTAGAGATTATATTGGTGTGCATCAAAGTCAAAATTGAGACCCGTTTGTTTGAGTACTCAACAGTCCGATTTTGGGGTACCCAATTTTGACCCAAGCCCACGAAAGGCTCTTTGAAGTCTATACCCTGATTTGGGTCGGAGATACTCATTCCAAATCAGTTTCTCTGATAGTACTGATAGCTTGCTCCTGCTCCCAAATCCACTTTTTGAATATGTTTGATTCATCCATATTCGAATTCCCATATACTGCCAGAAACTTGGTGAATTCCCCAGTTTTCATCTAAATGAAGTGCTTCTTCATGAAAAGTCCTTGGATTTTGTCAGCTTGGAAGAAGAATACAACTTGGCGTTGCAGCTTCCGCCAAGTCGCCCAATCCTCCCGTCGCGACTTTGTACATAGCATCCTCCAACGGCCGACGACACGTCGTAACGTTTGAAGGTTTTTTGTGTCAACATTCTAGTGGAATCGCAGCCAATCCAGGAACAATGCTGTCAATGCACTTCAAAGATATGAATATAAGACATACGTACAGTTACATATATATATTTCTATTTGTACATAATATGTTGCCCTGTGAATGTGGCCGAGTGAAGTGTGACCTGGGATATTCATGCTAGATCAATTTAGCTTCAGAGTATATGAGCAGATATCTCTGTACGGCCAAGACTTTGTTTGTGAAGCACTGTTGCTTGAATTTGGGCACTGAGTACTGTTACAAGGTCAATGCCCTAGGATTGTACAAACTGTAGTAAGCAAGAAAGCTGATGGGCAAAATGCAGAGTGCACAACTTTCCGTTCATTCGCGGCTTCAAATTGAGATGTAATTTAATATGTATACATAATATTATATATAAGTATATAATCTATGTAATGTTTCTCGCATTGTAGGTTGCCCGCATCAGATCTTGTGCTTTGCTGTCCAATTCGTTGGCACAGCTTCCCTATTGGCAATGTTTAGGATCCCACAGTATGTGCTTCCCAAATTTTCCCAAATCTCAGAGACTGAGGGATGGATCAAATCCTAAACCATACGGTTTTTTCTCGAAATTGAGGTACCCAAGACTTCCAAGCCACCATCGGTTCTTCCCATACAACATGACCAGTTCTTGTGGTCTTCCCTTTTAGGCGATGCACATCGATCCCATGTTTTGTCCATCATCAACGCTGCACGATCTGCACGCCAAGATATGACACCGGTCCACCTATGTCCACCTCCACCCCCGTCGGTGGAGTGGTGACCAGCCACAGAACCTGAATGGCGCCCTTTGTTTCAGCAGCTCAAAAGGTCCACTTTCAGAAGCCAAAGAGGGATGTCGAGTTAGATGGCTTGTTTCCTCGACATTTGGAGTATTTGTCTGATTTTTTCTGTTGTCCTGTGGATGTTCATTGACATTGATGGACTTTGATGAATTTTATGAATCGCTATGTATTCAGAATACACTTTCGAGATCCCAGTCATTGCGAGTCACCGGAGGCTTCCAAGGGCCAAGTGAAGGACAAGCAGAAGCGATTGAAAGCCAGTGAGTTGTTAGCGCAGGCACGCTGGGTACCTTCCTTTGCACCTATAGATTTACGAATGAGCAGTGGCCGTTAACCCCCTGTTGGTTGAGGATTATAGGGGGTTTAATTAACTATTGGAGATTATCATGATCTATTATGATGGAGGGTTTTGAACATCGCTCAAATGACGACGATCACTATTTCACCCAGACCCCTTCCCAGCCTGCCATTGGACCTGCAAGAATCACTGTTTTCCACCAGATCCCAATCTTCTGCACATTGCGGCAAGCTATAGAGATCATGCACATCAATGCACCTAACGTTTCGGGGCAGAGAATGGGTTGGTCACCCACGTGCAGATCTGAGATGCGCGGGCCGCATTGTAGAGGGCCCACCAACATATTTGGAATTATCATCAATGGTCTCCTCACAAAATCGTTTTTTTTTTTTTAATCACATAATGATACATAGTATATCAATTTATATCACATATGTCTCCTCCTCCAAGAAAGAATGTGCATATACTCATTGTCCATATTATATCACAAGGATTGGACCCTGCAAAAATTGCCAGAGTTGCCACGTTAGGCTGCGGAGAATGCCAAGTCAGACACCTCCAAAAAGGAGGAGGTGCCACAGAAACCGTAGTCCAAGTGGATCCGAATGGTGTGGGAAGCTCCAAGCCCACAATTCTGTACCAGGCAAATCCAGGCGAAAATATCGGGACAACCCATGAAAACCCAATGAAAACCACAGAAAGCCCATTTGGCAAAGCTGAACCATGCTGAGTCCATTTCCTGTTTCTTTTGGCCACAAGGGGACCCTTTTTGAGTTGCTTTGATATGCTTTTATCCCTGTGTGAAACAACTCTAACAACACTTCATGTCAGTAGGAATTTTCTTCATTGACTTTTCTGCTGGTGAAAGAAATCATGTTACCCTCTGGTAATTTAACATTGAAATTGGTGATTTTTAGTTGATTTACCTATCAAAGACGGTGATTTACCTATCAAAAATTGTGATTTTCCATAGCTATGTAAACGTTTACCGGAGGGTTTTTATCATGGTCACCGGCGTCACTACCTGCGATCCAGGTTGCATCCAATGCCGCAGGTGCGAAAGCAACGAGAAGCACGACCTGAGAATACCCCAAGTTCCAAGCGTTTGAAGCTATGACTTTCCCAACATCGGTACCAAATGGTATCAACAGGTTGAACTCGCAGCGACCTTGCGGGTATTGGAGTTTACTTACGTGGTTTATATGTCCATTAATATCAACATGGTCGCATTCGGATACATTCGATTGGACATGTCTTCCAAATGCCGGTGCCATCCATCCTTATAGCTTCAGACCCTTGGCAGTGCTTCTTGGTGTTTCACAATTGTTGATTGAAAAGTTGTACCCCGCGCCATGATGGTGATCTCATGTAAAACGATGATATCGTGGTCATGTCACTCTTCAATAAGACCGTTAAAAAGCCGCCGGTGTCTCCTTATGAGTGATGTTGAAAACAAGAGGAAGTTGTTCCGTGTTGAAATTCTCAAATTCTGGCCATTCTCTCATGTGGTTTCGATATGTTTTTGATGGCCTTGAATATTGGATGAAAGTTGAAAGTGACCTATGGCAACCGCACGTTCGTATTCTCTTAAACCTTATAATATATGATAATATATATGTGTGTATATATATATAACTATATATATATTATATTGATCAAAACAAAAGTGTTGCAGCTGCAACGAGGATACCTACTTGGATCGACCAGCAAGGCCTCAAACCAGCCATATGATATCATGGTCGAGCAGCCAGTGGAACAGATTCTCAATACCCTGACATGGCAATGGAATAAGAACTGATTTGATCTAATTTGTCCCGATTTTTTTCCCTTTGTGAATTGCACCATTTGCGTCCACTTGCCAGAACTTTGTCGGGCACGTATGGTTTTTCCACAGACTCAACTCACCTCTGCCAAAAGACGTTGGCTGCACGGGCCCCTGCTTCAGACGAGAATGAGAATAGAAGTGACACTGATGGCAAGGTACATGATCCTAACAAGATCCTGCTGACCACAAAAAGGCGGAGTCATCAATGCTGACAGGCTCTGACACCACATCCAGAACAGATCCAAAAAGCAGCAATGGTGGACAATGCCTGCCCAATGGATGCTATGAAGATATACACAACCTATTAGATGGGGGGTCAGAATTGCGTGTGCCCCATATTGGACGATTTCCTAACCCAGTCCTTTTTGTTGGGTTAACCCTGGTTGATTGATTCAGGGGGTTACCCCCATATGGTGAATGACTAGCGCAACAGCGACAGCGTCGCCATGGAGATGCTTGAGGTTGCGACTAGCTGGCGATGATCGAGACTTTCAAGTCTTGCTGTGCCTTGGCTTCAGACCTTGCGGTGGAAGGGGTTCTTATTGAGCAGATGGGGGGGTTCCTAATTCCTAACCTAGGGGTAGCCCCAAATCCTGCATTTTTCTTGAGATTTTCCATTGTATAAACCATCCAGCTATTGGGGTACCCCCCCATTTTAGGAAAGCCCCAGATCGTCATACTTTCTGCATCGCTCTGGATAACGAGTTTTCCCAGATGCATTTGTTCTCTTTGAATCTCCCCCAAGATCAGATTGAAAACTCAATGCTCGAGTTTTAAGATCCACATGTATAAACTATTCGGGCAGATCCCAGGGGATCTGTGTATGATTAGCTTTTGATGCATCAAACCTTTGGGTCTCAATTTAGACATATTGCAACAACGAATTGGTTTCCAAGTAGGCATGGACAATACAGCACTTGCACAAGTCAACATAGATCCCAACTAATATTTCCCATCGTGGCCCATTTGGACATGGAACGTACATTTCTTTGTTTCCGGACAGAGTTTTTTCTCACTGAACTCCAAGCAGATTTCCCAGACGGAAAGAGAACCCGATTACTGGACATTTATGGCCTAGCACTGTCTATCACTGATTGGTGGTTACAGATGACCCACCTTCACAGTCGTCGCTCTCCAAGGTCAATTCTCACAACCTAAAAGTTGCAGAATTTGGTAATATGGTCCAGTAGTATGTCCATGTGATTTGGCCAATGTTGTGACAATTGGCCCCGGATTTGCACCAGCCAATCCTGTGAGCAACGGTTGGTCGCTGGGGCGAAAGCACCTGAGATATTCTGACATTGTCAAACATAGCCTCTGGTAAACGTTTACATAGCAATGGAAAGATCCACCCATTTTTAATGGGAAAACTCACTATTTCGACTGGGCCATTTTCAATAGCTATGTTAGTCATAACCAGAGGGTATTCGAATTTGTCAATCCATGTTAATCCCAAGAGAATTATGGCTCATTGAAGATCCCAGACTGGACTCTTGAAGAAGCAAGCGGACTACGACACGATGATATAGACTGCTGCAACGATGGAATTATACAGGTCGTATACGTCGTATACATTCTGAGCTGCACGGATTCATCCCTACCCAGCATTGCATCATGGTTACTGGCTTCAGTTTGTAGGCGCTGCCTCACTCAAAGCAATGCCGCTTCTTCCATTTCCGTCATGTGTTTCTCTTAATGATTTATTATATTTTATGATTTCAGGAAGCAAAACTCCCAACCACATTCACATTGGAGGCACTGGCCTATGAGGTAAGGCGGTGGCTCAAAGGATTTGTGATTTGTGCTTTTTTTTAATCATTTATTCAATTTATTCAATGCTCCCTGCTTGGCATCATGGTTTCCGCAGGGGAAAATCATTCCGTGTTTCTCCGAAGTGATGGCAGTGTTGTTGCTCGTGGAGCATATCGAGCCTGGCAGTGCAAAATTCCACCTTTAGAGGAGGGCGTGTCATACATCCAGGTTTCTGCAGGCGAGCATCATACAGTGCTTCTCCGAAGTGATGGTTGTGCTGTTGCTTGCGGCGAGAATCGTGATGGGGAGCTTGACATTCCACCTCTGGAGAAGGGTGTGTCATACGTGCAGCTTTCTGCGTATGATCGTCACACTGTGTTTCTCCGGAGCGATGGTCGTGCTGTTGCTTGCGGAAACAATTCCTTCGGGCAATGTAACATCCCACCTTTAGATGAAGGTGTCTTGTATGTCCAGGTTTCTGCAGGCTCTGCGCATACAGTGCTGCTCCAAAGTGATGGTCGTGCTGTTGCTTGCGGAAGCAATAGAGTTGGGCAGTGCAAGATTCCTTCCTTGACATCTTGGCGTGACTGGCTTTGTCTATCCCCAAGTTCTAAACGCCTTCGCTACGTGTCTGATCTGAAGTTGAATGCCAGCCTTGGACGCTGACAGTTTCTGTGGCAGCTGCGTTTGATTTTGCCTGATTGCCGCAGTTGCCAGAGACAGTTTGCAGTCTAATAAGATCCTCTTGTGACACTTGCAACTCTGTGTTTGAAACAAGTGAATGCGTGAAACTGATGTACAATGGTCTAGTGCATTATTCAATTTTGTCTCGCGTGTTTCCGATGCTATCCAACCTGAAGCATCATTTGTTACAGTATGTTGGAGATCGATCCAAGGTGTTTGCGCATCATGCATTTTTTCCTGGTACAATTTTGATCCCCTTTTATTCCCAAAAGTTTTATTTTGCATACCAACTCTGTTTAACTCCATGTTGATTGGCTTGTTGTGATGGTAGTTGTCATTGTGTTGCTATAGTGTGATCGTGTGTGATCAGTTGTGTTGAAATAGATGTGAATTGTTGATTTGGGTCCCTGGTTGGCTGTTCAAAAAGAGGAGAAAGCTAAATGGGATCGGCTCAATAAAGCCAGCCATCTGGATGGGTCTGATCCGAAAAAACAAGACCAGCCGGTTGCGGGTCCCTCAATATACCGCATGTTGGTTTGCCATAGCATGCCATAGCAATATCCTAAGTTTGTTAATAATCAAACTGATCTTGTAACTTCTTGCGCACACTGATCTTATTAAACATGGTGTATGTACACTACAATTATTTATGATATTATATATATGTATATATACTATACATATACAGCACCCCCGAAAAAGATAGAAGATGGAACGATCCCACACAAAATAGTGAAAATAAATCTAACCTGTTCTATTTTTTTGTGGGGTTGCTATATACTGTATGAATAATAAACCATCCCCTAATCAAAGTCACCAATCTTTCTGGGTGGTATAAACCACTCCCAAATGGTAGGTTTATGGCATTGGCTTTCCACATTATATACCCTCTGGTTATTTAACATAGCAACAGAAAGGACCCATTTATTTATGGATGATTTCTGATGATTTAGCTACTCAAAATGGTGATTTGCCATAGCTATGTTAAATAACCAGAGGGTCAATTCTCATTAAATACCTATTGAAATCCATTGAACCTATGAAATCCCAATGGAATCCTATAAAAGATGGTGATTTTCCATGATTTTCCACGGCTGTCAGGTACGACGGCTGCTGCAGCGACGCACTGCAGAAGGCTGTGGCCGCCCGTGTGGCAGCTCTACCCGAGACGGTCTACTGCACACTGACACCGGAGGTGCAGCCATAAGGGACAGGTGAGCAGTGGCTCAGTGGCTGCTTTTTTCCCTGGTTGATGAAAAAATAGGGGATTATAGCCAATGTATTGGGGATTATAGCTGTAACTATAGGGGATTATACTACCCAATATGCTGGGGATTATAATCCAAGAACGGGGAATCCCGTTCTTAACTAACCAGGATTAAATGTAATGATAGAGGGATTTTGAACACTGCTCATGAGCAGTGTTATGGACATTGAATGGGGATGTTAACCATGAAACTACGGCGATATAAGTGAATCTATATGGATTTGTATGGATGAATAACTTCTGAATGACTGGGATTCATAGCGATTTATGGGGATTTATAGGAGTTATTCCCATAATAACCATGATTCATGCGGTTCAATACCCTGGTTGGTTTATGATTACGGGGGATTATAATAGTCCAGTATAATAATCCAATATAATTATTGAAGATTACAACAGTAGTCCAATAGGGGAATCCGGTTCTTAACCAATCAGTCAACCAGTATAATGGAATGACCAAGAATGGATAATGGGGATGAATAATTTGGATTGACATGGATTGATTATGGATTATAATTATAACTTATAAGCATGAATGACTGGGAATTTTATGGATTTATACAGATGAATAACTGGAGTTATACGGATTGAATCAATGGATGTGTATGTTTTTGAATGCCAAGAATGGGGATAAAGAATTGGGATTTATATGGTGTATACAGGTTTATACTAGAAGGAACATCCCACTTAGTAAGTGGTTAAAAATCGGAACCATAGATGGTGTATACTTGGAAGATCATCCCACTTCGTCACTGGTCAGTAATCATATTGTCTAATCGATTCATATATGGGATATACGAAGAAGGGGGATGATATCTGCCATGGTCGAAACTTGGATCAACAGCCAGATATGAGGATGGTGAGTTTCCATTCTCACAGAGATTCATACAACCAATGTAAGGATTTTTTCTTATGGGATGGATGACCATAAACCATACAATGTACTATGTATGTTTTGACCCCAACACATGGAATTTACCGCGCTGTTTAGTTCTCTAGGAGCTCTATGGTTATGGATTTGTATGAAGCTCAACTCATTACAATTACCCTCTGGTTATTTGACATAGCCATGGGAAATGGCCCATTTATAGATGGTTTACCTATTAAAAATGGTGATTTTCCATGGCTATGTTAAATAACCAGATGGTACCTATATATAAACAACATTTTTGAGAGGCTTGAGCATTCATTACTCTATAACTGCCAGCTACTTTGATGCCAACCAGGGGTACAGGCTTGAGCCATCCGTTTTTTTAATACAGTTTTATAAAATTTCCCAACAGTAATAATAAGATAATGTGGGATGATTTTCTGTGATACCACGGGATAAAAGTTGGGATGGTCGGGTAATGATATCAAGGGTATAAAAGCAACCAAAATGGGATAGATAAGACAACTAAAGAGGTATAACAACCCAAAAGTCAAGGTATGTAGCAACTTTAGTTGGATACAGAACCAATGACACAATAGATAGGATATAAAAGCCAGCAAACAAGATGATATGTATTGGAATCTAAGTAGTAGAACTCGCAAAGAGATCTAAATATGTAATTGATGGTTGATGGTTTGACACACCATAAAGATGTCCATAAGAATGGCAATGGGGAGATTGTAAAAGAACTACGTGATGAAAAACGGGGTTTTCTGGGTCTTAGATTTAGACCCATAGCCATGTCCACAAATGGACAGATATGAGCGTATAAAACATGATGAACAAATGCATATTGACATAACTACCCTCCGGTAATTTGACATATATAATTATTGAAATTGGCCAAGTATAGATGATTTTCTTATCAAAGATTAGATTTCTATAGCTATGTAATTCACCTTACTTGCATGTGCATTCCAGTTGCATCAAGTGTATAGTATGTGAAATACGATGAAATAAGCCAGTGATGTTTGGATTCATAAAAAACTTACAGAATCCACCTGCAATTAGATGTCCATCAACAAACATTATACACATATACAAATAATGACTTACTGACAGCCAGCAGCGCTGGTTGTGTATATGAATGATGGTTGGGCATGTTGACGAGGTCTGAAGAGATAGTCCGGCAGCAAAACCGATGTACCCTCCTGTAAACTGACATAGATGTGCAAAACCCACCATGAATGTAGATGATTTTCCTACGGAAACTATACGTGTTTCACATTTTCTTGTATGTTTACCCCAGGGTACCGAATGGTCAGTTGATGCCACGAAAGGCCGATGGCCCAGTGCTGCCATTGTCAGCTGCCTTGGCAGCGCAACTTTCAGAAACTTGCCGAGATGGATGCAAAGTTTATGGGGGACCCACCTTGTTCATATGTGGTTTTCCTCAAATGAGAGTACCCCAATAGCTGGATGGTTTATTTCATGGAAAATTCTATTATAATGGATGATGACTGGGGGTACCCCTATTCTAGGAAAAGCTCCATATCTATATCACTATATATACGTGTATATATATAATATACATATATATATATACACGTGATGATATGAATCTCAATGGACATACGTATATGTCCAATGTTCAAAACGTGGCTGATATTCCCATAAAAGGTGGTCATCAATCCATTACGAGGGTTACACATCTCATATCATTGGTTATATATCCAATCCTATATCTCCATGATATACATATATTTACACATCATATTACATTCCGAGTTCTGTTGGTCCAGCCATGTTTTTACCGGCTTTGTCTGAAAATCATGTACCCCAATCATCATTTTACTGAGTTTCTCGAGCCATTTTTGGTGGCCCTTCCACACTTTCACGCCCAGAGCTGCCCAGGAATCCCAGGTGTTGACCGTCCACATCAGCAGACCCATGGTGCCCCCTGTGGAGGCACCACCGGCGGGTGGAATCCCCTGGATGATCGGGAAATGTACAGGACACCTCTATATTTTGTGGGAAATACCCATGGAAATACCATTGGTTTCCATTGGTTTCCTCTAGGGAAGATCTACAGGAAAGAGTTTTGACCATTGAAATGGTCTCCGGTCTCCGGTTGCAATGTTCGGATGTCTATGGTGAATTCGAAAGGATTTGGCTTTTTGGTATGGGATGAAAATAGGATTTATGCTGGATAGAACAGGTTATGACTAACTTGTGTGGGGTTTATGTTGGAGATATCGCTCTGGATAGGCTGGTTTCTCAAAATGGAAACATCACATCTGCAGTCTTCACTGCGGGGTGATGTTTTTGTTATGCCTGATGCATTTCCAAGAGTTCGGGGGGTATAGTCCAAAGGATGCAATGGCATGCAATGGCTGTGGTTTTTCTTTGCAATCACTTACTTCTAGTTTCATGAAGTTTATTGAATCAGTTGTAGATTGTAGATTCTTAGTTTTTTTTTGATGTGTGTTCCACGCCAAGATGAAGGCTGCACCGTTTGCTGCAAATTCACGGCAGAGCGAGGTGGGGGCCGCCGATGATGAGCAGATTAGCCGATTTGTTTCTGAATGGGGGTATGGGTCAATACCAAACATTTCTAAAATTGAGTTAAATGGTACGAGTTCTCAAAAAGAGCAAATTGATCCAAATGCACGATTGACCGGTGTGCAGTCTGGTGTGTTTTGATGACGTCAACAATTGTCAATCAAGAATTAAGCCAGGCAGCATATTATGGAAATGGAAAATCGCCATGTTCCATGCCAAAAAGTTGTAATGCCTCATGCAGCTCATCATGGTTGACTTGCAAGCATGTGCCTGCCGTAAAAACTGCACTCTAGTGCCCAAAGTGAAGAAAATGTGGTTCAAGTCACCCATCTATCTGCATGTCAGTCTACGAAACCCAGATACTCAACTGCAGTTCTTGTTTGAGGCAGCGGCAGCCATGGCCACTCAACAGCATGTTGATGGGTTTAATGGGAGAGAAAGGTCCCAAAACCCCATGAATTCACAGATCATTACTGTTTTGATAATATGTTGAGAGGTCTTACGGTCTTACCGTAGTGAAAAACCATTTCATAGTGACGATGTTTCACAGATTGGTGTGGCTTCTAGGTGGTTGGAATCACAGTCAGTTTACTAAAGGTCACAGATGGAAAGTGGCCGTGTCTACAACAGTGCTGTTCCACAAGGAAGTATTTTAAGGTTGAAGAAACATCGGTTTCTGCACTCAATCAATTTATGTAGGTGGGTCATATTCCCTTGTCTCCTTTTTTTAGGGCCTTCTAGAAAGGGCCCATGGAAATTCCCATCTGGGTGTGGGTCAAAAGGGGTCGAAGATTTTGGCCAATCCGGAACATGACAAGACAATCCCACAGTGTGTAGGTCGCTGCACTGGGCCTGAAATTCTTCATCTATACATATCTATACCAACTATAGCGCTTCTTGTTATGTTCTCCCCTATTTATCCTATTTCAGTTGCTACTCACCAACAAATTGTTCCATAAATGGAACCATTTAGAACGGCAGTCGTTCAGTCGCCCAGGAAGTTCAGAGCAATGCTTCCTCCACCCAGTTGGAGAATGTAGCAGCTTGACGCCGAGCAAACCTTACCTTTGCAGGTTTCAAATGCTCAAGTTAGTTTGATTGGATTAACTGATTAACCCAATCCTTGGGGAATGGGACTAATTAATCCCTATTTCTTTTTGCAGAGGTTTGTATTACATGGATTCCCATGAAATGGACTGAAGAGGTTTTGTGAAGTGACTGGCACTCAACGTAGCTTCTGGTATTTTAACATATAGCTATTGAACATGGTCATTTATGGATGATTTACCTATTTAGGAATGTGATTTTGCATAGTCATGTTAGTTTACCAGAGGGTATATTCTGCTCTTGAAGTGAAGGTGAACATGTGTGATAAATTCCAGTCAGAAGGATGCAACGTTACTTTCCAAGGGTCGCAAGGTCATTTCTGATTCACTTCGGGAAAAACATGTATATAGGTACAGTACTTCCACCTCCACCATGTTCGTCTAGAATGTCTTGAGTCTTTACAGAAATTCATGAAAGGGAGCTCTTTGCACTTGAATCTTTGAAGATGACACACAGTGCCCATTCTCCGCCATTCGCTTTGGGCCACAGCTTTGGGGATCCTTTGCAAGCTTTAGAGAGCAGTTGCTGCTAGGTCCAGATGCCCACGCGGCAGATGCGGAAATGACGGCGAGCGGTGAGAGCAATGATGCCGCAGGGCGAACCTCGCGGGTGCCAAAGGTGAACATTGCAGACACAACGAGGATGGCTGGTCTTGGGCTTTGGCCTTACATCATCACTGCTCTCAGAAGTCTCTGGGCAACTCTGATCCGGCTGTGCCAGCGGATGCTGTACATACGTGCGGAGGTCAGTGGTTACGTGTCAACGACTTTGTTTGAGGCGTTGACATGTTTCTTCGCCAAAGAAGCTGAGATGCAAGGACTGACATGACTGACATGCACTTTGAACCAAGAAGCCCTGCAAGAGCATGACAAGCTGACGGGAAAGATCAAAGTGAAACTGCGCCTTTGGAGGTCCCGTGCCACATGGAGGATATGGATCTGCAGGTGGAATTCATTCCTGGTGATGACATCACTTGCGGTCGCAATAGCCGAATAGAACGTCTCGGAAAGCAGCAGCGACTGGGTTCCAGAATGGAAATTCGAGCGTGTCAAGCCCTGTAGTCTCAAAGTGCATTCCGTGTCTACATGATCACGGAATCAGAGTTCACCAGTTGGATTGGACAACTGACAACTGGGAGACTGGGAGTCCCTGTATATCGCCTTTGCCGAGTCCTCGCTTGAGCGACGATCGTCTCGGGGGTACTGATCCTGACTGGGACTTCAGAAATTGCGGCTGACGGGCGGAAAAAAAAACACCGTCTTCAGAGCCATCCATGGCACCGCAGAGCTCAGCTGGATGAGCCAGCCGCTGAGCTGTGCGGTGCCATGGAAAGACTGGAACAGCGTGCATTTCTGAATGTTGAATTATGGCCAGGGTCCAGACCCGTCTCAGTCGACATGCTGCAGCAGTATTTCATGCACCAGATCAGGGAATGCACCTGCATCGGCAGCATGGCACACGTGGAAAAAGACTGCGTCTTTCAGCGCACGTGAACCCCGAAAGTCCCCATCTAGGGCACCAGGTTTGTGATGGAAGCCATCGAAGCGCCCTGCAGATGTCTCAGGCGATGAGCCCCACGAATCCGATGCACAAGGTGAATAGCACTGGCTTGCTCCAATCTGGGAGCTATGTGAGTGACTTGGAAAACGAAGCAAATGTATACCTGGAATTACCATGGATTCCCTGGATCGCAGCAAAGAAATTTGGTCTGAATTGATTCAGTCGAGTCATAGTCGATTACTGATTAATAAAGGTGAAAATTCTCGCCTGAAGTGGTTTTGCTCAATTTTCACCACAACTACAACAACATCATGATAAGAAGAAAAGACGGAACTTTAGATTTTTGCCCAGGTTACATAAGGTATATTACTTCTCAAGAGACGCTTCATGAAATGGGGCTACCACCTCAAATTCCCTCAAAGTGGATGAACCGTCATGAATTTCCAAAGCCATTTTGTGGTTGAAAAGGGGGGATAATCATATTCTCACTACATCACCAAAATGCTTCCCAACATCTTTCAATTTGTCAACCGTGGATTTAACTTTTTGAAAAATGGATCCTCGGGGATTCTTGCCTGAATGCCGGGTATTCTTGCCCGATGTCTTTTTGAAAAGATATGCACCAATTGTCACAATGTGCTTGAAAATGAAAAACATCGATCCCAAACATGTTCAGGGCTTTGAGCCCGAGCACTCGGGCACATTCTCAGGTCAGCACATGTGCCAACCTTTGCATACCCTTCTTATTTTTGCCCGCATCCAAGCTAAAGCAGGAGTTGTCAGGTGAAAATAATTATGAATTGAATTCTTGCCTGCAAGTGAGCTGCAGGAATGTCAGGAATTCTCGCCTGAATTGGATTTCTCACCTGCCGTCTAATTTTTCTGCCCGATTGTGATCAAGTCAACTTTCTTTGTTTTGCAGCTTCTTGAAATTCAAATTCTGAGGGCTGGCGCCCAAAATCAACAGAGAGATTAGCAGAGTAATGAAGCGAAGCATGGTGGGAGTAGTGACCCTACCTATACCCTACCTTAAGATCTTGAAATTCAGGAGGTCGTTTTTTCTTTGTATCAAAAAGGTGTCCGCTAAAAGGGGTGGGAAGATCGAAACTAATCCTGCCAGTTTCTGCACACGAAAAGATGCTAAACATAGATGATAAATGAAATTCATGAGATTTTGGATACAGCCTCTACATCAATACTGATACACAATCACATGCATATACAGAGCGATATAGACTGTATCAGCATCAGTAGAATGATGTATCTATGTAATTAACAGGATAATCTTCAGCGCTGACCACCCTTTCGAAGCATTAAGGATCCACTTGTACGCTCCATTTGAACGATCTTCAAGATTCCGCAACGGTCAGATGGTGCAAGGAAATCTTCATTATATCCTATTATACTATATTATATATATTCATCCATTATATTATATACTATATTATACTATATTATATATATATATATAATATATTATATTCATCCATTCTTATGGCAACATCTGTTTTTTTTAACTTGTTGCTCCCTCCTATGGTTGGTTCAGATATCCCAACTGGCACCATCCAAGCGAAAGTTTCGAAGACCCTGTGAGAATCGCAGGCTACTTGCGGATGAATCGCGTGCGCTGGGAGAACTTCACCCAGCAAACTGATCAGCTTGTCACTGCGATGGAACGAGACTCGGCGACACCTGGTGGCTGCCGGTTCCAATGGTGTTTAAACATACTGTGGATGGAAGAATTCCTGCACCACGTTGGATGGTAGAAAACCTATAAATAACGAGGTCCATCACTTTATCATCTTTATCAACCGGTGCAGGATTTCTTCCATCCACAGTATTCCAAGACTAGAAATGGGATGACGATCTCCCTATTGCCATGGACATTGGCCGAGGATTCAACCGCCTGGCCACGGATTTAGCCAACGAGCGGACGCTGGGCGAAATGGACCGAGAAGTTTTGGATGTACCCTCTGGTAAACTAACATAGCTATTGAAAATGGCCATTTATAGTGGATTTTCCTATTAAAAAAGGTGATTTTCCATAGCTATGTTAAATTACCAGAGGGTACCCCAAATTGACGAGCGGTTGCTCCTACACTGTCCTACACGTATTGTAGGTAAAATGATGGCCACCAGAAGGGGGAGCAACAAAGGCGAAACACCGGCAGGTTTCTGCCATGCAGAATCACCCTGCGAAAGTAAGTGTTCTGTGTTCACAACACAGTAATATATATATACTATTATATAATTAAATATAGTTAAATATAATTAACTATATATATATACACATATACACATTAGTCACAACTATGGGTCCCATGCGACCAGAACATCGCACCAAGTCAGGCAAGGAATTCAGCGGTATTGCTGAATTGCACAAGCCAAAAACCACTAGCCTAAACTCAGACTCTGTCCATTTCTATTCCGAATCCCAAGAGGCTTTGAGATCTTTTGAGAGTTTGCAATTGTGAGAATTTGCCACCCCTGGGATGCTGCTGGTAACAAAAATTCTTCTTGGATTAGAGCCATAGTACTTCGTATTCATGGCTCAAAATGGTTTACCCCCAAAAGATAGCCGATATAACACAGACACATACAAACACAAATACCATCAGATACCAAAAAACGTGGAGAGCTTATTTGCAGTTCCCCAGGTCCAAGGTTTTAGCCACAGCCATGTCAGTTCATCGTCGCGTATTGAAAAACCGGCCTCGCTCAGAACGTTGCTGGCCTGGCTTCGCACTGCAATGGCAGGTCAGGGAGGGCCGCAGGGAGTTGCAGTCAGATGTCTTGATGCTTTGGAGGAGACATGGCACCACAGTTGTAATAAAGGTAGGATCCTGTCCCCAAGTACCATTTTTTGTACTGAAACTGTCACATGATACCTGCTGAACTTTGAGGATTCACCACCCAATCCTGATCCTTTTTGTAGATCATTGTCCGAAGCCCGATGGGATCCCGGGTGGGTAAAGTTTCTTAAAGTTTCTTGGATCCGGCCAGGCATCCGTACCATCTTTGTGTTCTATGCATCTTGGCTTGAGGTCGATCCAAAATCTGGGGGCTGAACATTTTTGATAAGCCAAAAAGATAGATATGTACAATAAAATCCGAGCAAAATCATAGTCGATTATAGACTTCGATCTTTTCGGGGAAAGTCCTCGTAGTTGAAAGATTGGCTGGACCTTGCATTTGCGCTTTATGTTGTGCCAATCATTGCAGGCCATGGATGGTGTCAACAAATTCTGGGAGACCAGCATCACCGCGAGCCTTTTGGCGACGGAAGTGGAAGATTGATGAAGATTGTGTGTTTTTGGGGGAAATGTGGGAACCCAGATCCATCGACATTCATCGGTTTTGGAATAGCCTTGATAATTCTGTACTCCTTAGGAGGTAGGTCTTGCATTTCTTTGGTATGGCAATGGGCTTCTGCCACGGCAAAGATATCTGATCAACATGAATTGCCATGCTGACGCCATATAGGCTAGGAGAGGTTGTGTTGGTTTGGGCAACTTCAATTTTTTCTATCTCCGGTTCGCACAGTTGTTAGCTATGAAGATCATGAGATTCGTGAAAGGCACCCTCTATATACCTGTCAGCAGGCCAACTTGAGTTTTACGATAGGAACTTGGAAATTGATCTTAAGTGATCCTTTCACGATGTGTTTTAACTAATCCCTAAATTAACACATTGAATTTCAAAACCGTCGCAGACAGGCTAGAACTTCGTGGAAAAGTCACCAGGTTGTCATTCAGGATGAATGGGCTACCCTCTTGTAATTGAATATCGCCACGGAAAATCACCATCTTCAAGAGGTAAATTGGTTCTCATGGCTTCCAGTTCACAATGTGTATCAAATGACCGGAGGGCACTTTGTTTGTTCACAGTGGTGGAAAATTCCCCAGATACTTGTCCTGTTCAATGATTTTCCCATGAAAAGCTCCATTTAAATCATTTCGGGGCTGGGGGCCCTCCATGGATTTCTGAACTTCCGATCGTTCAAATCGAGGTGAGGTGTTGATGGCGATCTTGGTCTTGGTATTGCTGTACACCGGGCAGGCTCGTTACTACGCGATCAAGGAGATGGCCCAGTGAACGGGGGTGATGTCAAGGTCACCAAGTCATAGAATTTCGACGTTCACATAGAAATGGTATATGAAAAAAAAATGACATCATATTATTATTGCATATTATAGATATGAAATGTTGATTTCTTAAATGATGTTTCTCATCTTTTCTAGCAATCTTGACAGAGTCGCTGTGTGCACGCTATGGTTCTTTTGGATGGTATTCTTAAGTGTTTGTGTGTGTTTGCGACCTCTTATGTTCATACAGGCCTGTTTCAATCTCATCTCCAGCTTCGGGAGGTCTTTTCACATAGTACCGGGCCTGAAAGCCATTGGGAACCAATTGGTGAAACCAAATGGAACAAGCCAACACTGCCAATATCTACGTCGCTGGTGGGTCATGGCAGGAGCTGATCTTAAGAAAAGATCCGCCTCCAACCTTTGGCCGAATCAGCTTGAGGCCACCGCTGATGGGATTCTGAAGGTCAATTCATGGAGAAACAAATGTTTTTGACGGTGACTTTGTATGATTTTATGGGAAAACGAGAAAAACAATGAAGGTAGACATAGGTAGACCCTTAGGCTGATACTTGAATCTGTCTGCTAATTACCTTAAATCCACCTATCACATAGATGTGCTTCCGCGCCAGATACACGTATTTGGTCCTGGCACTGGCCACGTTCACTACCGTCATGGGTGTATGCCTTCGAAGATGGCAGAAACTCGCTGACTGAGAGAAAAAACAATTCAAATATATAAAATGCATGTATTGTCCAAATTTTTCAGGGTTTAAAACTTCATGATGAAACTAAGTTTGTAAGTTTGCAATATTATTTCAAAGATTTTTACAAGAAAATAATGGAACGAAAAGGGACACGAAAACATGCTTGACTCAATCAGACCCGAAATTATATTTGATTCAATCAGAGATAAAATTCAATCAGAGGTGAAGCCAAACCAAAATTCATTTACATATATAATATATTATAATATTATATATAGATATATATGTAATTTATGTGGATTCATATATAAATGGATATATAAATCAATTTTAAAATCATAATATAATTATATAATTGATTATAATTGTCTTTTCCTTCTACCTGGAGCGTTTAGTAGGATTTAGGTCTCAAGGTTTCGGGATTGGGGGTTAGATACGGAATTAAATTTACAGGATTGAAATTGGAATAACATATTAAATATATATATATATAATAAAATATAATATATATATATATATTATTATATATAATTTAATTTATAATTAAATATAATTATTATAAAAATATATATATATAAATATTTTTATATAATTATTATTTTATTTAAATTATATATATATAATATTATTATATAATAATAATATAATTATTGTAAATAATATATATATATATAATTATGTATATTTAAATATATTATAAATATATTAAATTATATATATTTATTTAAATATATAAATATAAATATATAAAAATATAA